CTCAACCGCACTCCAAGAAACGAAGAAACACCCACAGCTTCATTTTTTTTTGTCGTTTCACCCCCCGAACATTCCGCTTCCCGCCGTTCACCCAGCGTCCGCTTTTGTCGGATGGGGTATTGTCGGTGTTGCCCTGCGCGAACCCCAGCCACGGTGGAGAAGAAAAGACTATCGGAGTCGGGGTTGCCTTAGTTAAAAGGAAATCAGTCCCAACCGCTTCGCAGCCCACCGTGCCCGTCGCGCCACTAAAATTCCACAGCTTCCGGTCCCAGCTTCGCCGCTGCGCCGTCACCTCGTGTAGACGCCCGGGTCAGAGGAAACCTGTAAACTGCACCAGTGTTGTCCTGCGGCGCCCCGATTTTTTCGCGTGCTGTTTCACCCAGCCCGCTTTTGTCGGAGTAGAACAGTGCCGCAACTCCCCTTTTTTGTCTTTTCTGTACAGCTGTCGAACGGGCACCAAACCAGGTGCTTTTAACCAGCGCAGGGTAGGCTCGTGTTCACCCCCGTTATTCATCCGAATAAGGTCGACTGCATGAGTCGGAACCAGTAATCGGTGGGGATGGTGAGGTTCGGGCGAAGTAGGGCCGCAGATCGGTTCCACCGGCTTTTATCTGCTCCCCACGACGTTCTTCAACCCCCGCTTAGCCGTTGGGCAGTTTCTTCACGCGTGTCCCGGCGGCCTGCACCACACTCCGAAATTGTCGGGGTGGCACGTTGAACACCGTTTAATCGTGGGCTGTTGCGGCTGTCCCCGAAAACGGCTTCCTTGAACGGGGAAACCGATCTCGAAACTGTCGAACAGCTGGCAAGCAGCTCCAGGCACGCAGCAACAAACGAGTATTTCTCGGGTGTTCAGTCCCGATATGCCCTCGCGCCTGCGCCCCACTCCTGCTAAGTGCGATTTAGCCACGTCGTTGTCTGTTGCAGCCCGTAAGTGTCGGCGGGTCCAAAGTTCCCGTCTGTCCACAAGCAAATCTGCCGAAAATCGTCGACGACTCGCCCGCCAGTACGGTAAGCGCCGCACTATCCGGTCGGACGGGATAAAACTCAACCCCCGCATAATTCGGGCGGCTTGAGCGTCTATCTCTCCAGCCGTCGGGATCCTCTGACGCAAAACTCCATTTGCGCCTGGCGAGTCCTTCGAGCTGCCCTTTTCTTCACAGTAGAAACCTCCGAAATTGTCGCCCATGCTGACGCAGGCCCGTTGTCGCCAGCTGCCGAAGATTCTCCCGAGAATCTCGCGCACAAGATGACGGCTTGCCATCGACGTCACTTGCCGCGTAGGGACGACTCCGAAATCTTCGCGCAACTGTTGACGCAGATCCGCCAACGCCAGCTGCCACTCGTGATGACGACGTCGATGCTGTTCGTGCAGGTGCCGACGCAGGTCCGCTGACGCAGGCTGCCACACGAATCAAGCTCCGAAATCGTCGGAAATCGCAGCGGAAATTACTCACTTTAATGTCGCGACAGCTACTGCTGCCCGTCGCCCGGGGGGAGGGAGGTCATGGTCGATCGCGACCGTCGAGCTAAGGATCTGGCGGTGCCGAAGGAGTGCCCCGTAAAACCATGGCCGCGAAGAGCAACTAACTAGTTCTCTTGGCCGGCCTACGCAACTCCTGGACCCCAAGGCATCCTTACTCGTCCCCCCCCCCCGAGGGGTAATACACTCTAAAAAGCGGGGTAGGCTAGGAAAGTAGCTCTGATACCAGGTGTTATGAATGAACTTGTCAGAGTGCGCGGATATCGAATAACGAGAATGAGAAATTACAGAATGATTGAACAATGAAGTAGCGAGGCCTAAATAGGGGAAAACCTAGCTAGGCGGGGGGTTCGGGATGGGATGGCTCGGTGATGGCCACGATTGGAGCGGAGGCCGACTCGGGGGTGGTTCGGTGCGACGAAATAGGCATCGCAGGTTCGTCGCGACACCCTCGGGATGTCCTCGCTAACAACTTACTACAGTAAGGAATTCTAATTCCTTACAATGCTGACTCCGGGTTTAACCACATTGCGAAGTGCTTGCTCTGCCAGTGGCGGAGAGTCTTCACCACCCCCTCAAACCTTGCTCCCTCGCATTGCGGAGCCCCCTTCCGCCGTGCGTGTGCCTCGTCCACAAACACAAGCCACTTGCGCACTCAGGGCAGGTCCACAATTGCTGTTCAATACTGAGTGGAGTGCGGTGCGGTGCGGGTTTTGAACGTTAGCTAGCTTGAACAGCACTTTGTGGTCGCTGTTCTTTTTGCGCGACCCCACCGAACCAACTCCGCCAGCTTCCGCATCTCTCAGCTCCGCCGCTGCGTTTCCCCCCTCCCCCTAGAGTTTGCCGGCTTTCCTGGTTGTAGTTCCCCGCTTCCCCATTCTCCCCCTTTTTCCCGTTCGCCTTCCGCGCACCTCCCCTCCCCTCCAGCTTGATGCTTCAAATTTACGAACCTCCCAACGCGTTTCGTAGGTACAACCACCAGTTTCTCCGCACTCTACGCTAGCCATTTTGCGCTCTTCCAACAATTCTAGCTAAATGCGTCCATTGCTAAGTCAGGCGATCATGTTTGGCGGTTTCTAGACGCTGCGCGAGTCAGTTTCGCGAAAGTCTGGTTACATTTCCAGCCTCGCCTTGCTCATTGTACTTTCTTTAGCAACCTGCTACTCTGCATTCGTGATTTGGCCTAGTCCTGACTTAGTCATGGACATTCCTGGCACTAACACGCTCAAGGTGCTACCCGCCACCAAACCTCTACACAATTCATAGGTACGCTTGCCCGTCTCAGCTCTTCTGGACCATACAGGCTCGAGACGCGTTTTTGTACGGCGTTGTCTTGCAACTCGGAGTGATTTTTATAAGCGAACAATCTCTCACAAGACGAAGAGAGCCGTCTAAGATTATCTCGCCGTGTCTTTCAAAGCTTGAAGCAGGCATTCTGTCGTAGTAGCTGTTCGTACGAGCAGCGTTCGGTGCTTCAAGGTGTGACGCCGGCCGCGCTGATTCCGCGTCTAGCGCGAATCTTACCCTTATTTTCCTCATTTATTTCGACTCCGATAAATGTGAGTCGCCGGGTTGCGTTGGTATCAAACCTAATGTTATTCCCCTCTAGTTGACTTCTCGTTACAGAAACCAGAACTTGATTTTTTTTTTTTTTTTTTCCACCCCCTCGCTTCCCTGAATGCAGCCGGTACAGCTGAGAGCATCAACCAGCGCATTCTGCACCGTATTTACCCGTCTCTAATTTCATCTTCTGTGCCCTCCGTGTTATCAGGTTTCCGGGCGTTTAATATCTGCAGAGTTGTCAGTGAATTAGGTTCAGGCCAAGGGTTCACTCATGGGGTGTGGGGGATCCAAGGCTCTTGCAGCAGTTGACAACCCTCCACCTCCTCCACCTACCAAGCCCGTAGCACCAACATCAGTACCCGCAGCACCAGCAGCAGTAATACCTTCCGCAGTAGAGAAGCCCTCGAAACCTTCGCAAGCAACGACCGCAGCCGTCGCAGCAGCGCCTCCTGCGACTGAATCCGTCAGCCTAGCGAAAGACACCTCTTCCGCCACTTCCGCCGCTTCAGTCGCGCCTTCCCAGCAAGACCCGCCTGTCGTGCTGCAAGAGTCGCCGCCTGAACCCGCCGTTCCCGCAGTTGCCGCCAGTGAAGCTGCTATTGACGCGTCCGGGGAAAAGGCGGAAACAGCAAATGCGGAGGTAGCACAGGCGGAGACAGGGGCCGCGGTGGTAGGAGGCCAGTCCGCGGAGGCAAACGGGTCCGCGGATGAGGGCACAGAGGAGGCGGCGGATGGCGGAAGCGGAAGGTTAGCAGGGGAAGGAGGGGGGAACGAGGCGGAGCAGAGTGGGCGGGTAGCTGAGGCGGGTGAGGGGCAAGAGCACGATTTTAGCAACCGGTGTAGTGAGGATGACGGTGATAATCAGTCTTTGCATCAGAGACTGAGGGAAGGCGAGGAAGGCGAGGAAGGCGAGGAGGGCGTTGCAGCGGAAGCAGCAGTTGACAATGAAGCGGAAGCGCCTGTTGCTCAGGACACGTCTGCATCCGCAGCGGCGGTTGCGGATGTGGCAGAGGCTCGAGACAGCACGGATGGGCTACCAGCAACAGAAGAAGCAGCAGGAGCAGCAGGAGGAGCAGCAGGAGGAGCAGCAGGAGGAGCAGCAGGAGGAGCAGCAGCACCAGAAGCAGCCCCAACAGAAGCAGCAGACGGGCCTGGGCCAACTGCAGATGGCAATACGGGGAGTGGTGAGAGCAGTAGTGCTGATGTCAATGCTCGGGGCAGTTTAAGTTCAGGTTCAGGGGGTGCTGTGAATTCCAGGGGGGGTATCAGCGGATCTAAAAGCGGGGGGATAATTTCAGAGGCTCGGGACAGCAGCGCAGCAGGGGGAGGCGGAGGGGGCGGAGGGGCGGGCGCGGCTGGTCTGCCCCAGACGAGCAACAGCGCAGGGAGTGGGGGGGCAGGCGGAAGTGCGTTCCTCGCGCACAACGCCATCTCGCGCTCGTTATCTCACGAGAGGCACCGGGGGCACACCCCCCCGCTCCCCCCCCACCACCGCCCGTCTACCAGCTCCCCGCTGCAAGGCCCGAACCAGCACAACCAGAACCAGCAGCACCACCATCAGCAGGAGCAGCAGCCGCACGGACACAGCCAGACCTCAAGCCATTCCCAGGAGCAAGCAGGTCCGAACCAACAGCAGCAGCAACAGCAGCAGCAGCCGGTTTCCAACGAGCGGCTAGGCAGCAGCCTCCTAGGCCGATCTAGCTCCAACCGTTCCATGGGTCGACCCTCCACTCAGCCCTCCACTCCCAAGCAATCCGCCTCTCCCAACCTCCCCGCCTCCCCTCAGGTCTCCGCCCAGGGCTTTGGCATGGTCCGCCCCGCCAAATCCAACCCCCACAACCCCCTCCCCTCCCCCCGCCAGCCCGGAACCCCCCTCCCCAGACCCCCCTCCCCCCCCATGTCCCCCCACGGGATCCTCCGCGTGCCTGGCTCCCCCGCGCCCCTCTTTGGCGGAATGGCGCTCCCCCTGCCCTCCCCCCAGTCCTTAGGCTCGTCGAACCTGAGTGGGGGGAGCACAGGGGCAGGGGGAGGCGGCGGGGGGAGTAACATAGGAAGCAGCGGGCTGGGGAGTGGGGGCGGAGGCCTTGGGGGGAGTTTCCGCAGGGCGGGTTCAGGCGGAGGTGGTGGGGGTTCTGCTGGGGGTAGTGGCGGCGTTTTGGCCAAGTCTGGTAGTCAGCAGCAGCAGAACCAGAACCAGAAGCAGAACCAGCAGCTGCAGTCAGGGTCTACCGGAGGAGGGGGAGGAGGAGGGGGTTTAAATGCCGGCGCCAGCAGCAGCAACAATAACAGCAGCAGCAGCACCGTCAGCACCAGTAGCAGCATGCCACGTATGCCTGCCATCACCCAGCAGAACGCGGGGAATCTTCGTGTGTTTTCGTACACAGAGCTGAGGGCCGCCACAGGGGGGTTCAGCAGGGAGAATCTTCTGGGGGAGGGCGGATTCGGGGGCGTGTACAAGGGACAGGTGGACGCTTGGCCTATAGACGGCGTGCCTATAGTGATGGGTCAGAAGATTGTGGTTGCGGTTAAGAGACTGAATAAAGACGGGCTACAGGTGAGTGTGTGCGGGAGGGTGCTGGTATGTGTGTGCGTTCTGTGCCTATGGGTAGTGTGCCCAGCAGAACGCGGGGAATCTCCGTGTGTTTTCGTACACGGAGCTGAGGGCGGCCACAGGGGGGTTCAGCAGGGAGAATCTTCTGGGGGAGGGCGGATTCGGGGGCGTGTACAAGGGGCAGGTGGACGCGTGGCCTATAGACGGCGTGCCTATAGTGATGGGTCAGAAGATTGTGGTGGCGGTTAAGAGACTGAATAAAGACGGGCTGCAGGTGAGAGTGAGGGTGGGTGGGGGAGCTGCAGCCTGCAGGTAGGTCAGTCAGTGTGTACGTGTTACAGTGATGATGGGGCAGAAGATTGTGGTGGCGGTTCAGAGACTGAATAAAGTCGGGCTGCAGGTGTGAGGGTTGGGGTGCTGCAGCTAGGTGTGTGCGTGCCGTGTGCCTTTAGAGAGCGTGGCTATGAGTGTGCCTTTAATGGAGGCCGTATAGATGGTGTGATGTGGTGTGCGTATAGTGATGGGACAGAAGATCATGGTGGCGGTATAGAGAGACTCAATAAAGACGGGCTGCAGTTGAGTGTGTGGGGATGGTGCAGATACCAGGCGTGTGTGTGTGTATGTACCTGCATTGAAAATGTGCCGATAGCGATGGGACAGAAATTCATGGTGGCGGTATAGAGACTCAATGAAGACAGGTTGCAGGTGGCGGAGACTCATGGGGCACTGCAACAGCGGCTAGCGTGAGAGAGAGAGAGAGAGAGAGAGAGAGAGAGAGAGAGAGAGAGAGAGAGAGAGAGAGAGAGAGAGAGAGAGAGAGAGAGAGAGAGAGAGAGAGAGAGAGAGAGAGAGAGAGAGAGAGAGAGAGAGAGTTACTGGACTCGGCTCACGGCTCCCAGCACGCGCTGCCAGCACGCCTCGCTGCGGCGGAGGCGGCCCTCCCCCCAGAAGCTCTCGAAGCACTCCAGGCCGGGAAGGCGGACCCGAAGGGACTAAAGCTGCAGCAGAGCCTGGCTCTGGCGGTTCACTCCCGCCGCTTCCTGAGGGTTATGCGCGAGGCGAGGCGGATGCGCCCCATCCCCCTCTCGGGCCACGCGCAACGAATGCAGTCGGTGCTCGGCCCAGGCGCAGGGGACTGGCTGCTGGCGATCCCCCTCATCCCCTCGCTTCGGATGGGCCCGTCCCAGCTCTCAACTGCAGCTGCCTTCCGCCTAGGCCTCCCCCTCCCCGTGCCTAGACGTTGTGATTGTCGCTACCGCACCACCTTCCCTGACGATCGTCTCCCCAACCACCTCATGCGCTGCGAGAAGGGGAAGGGGAGGACCGCTACCCATCACGCCCTGCGGGATGAGATAGCATGTATAGGGGCGGAGGCTGGCTTTACGGTACACAAGGAGACGTACGTCTACTCTCAGGTTGAAAATCTAAAGGCGGATGTCACGATCCGTCATCCCCTGACCGGAGAAGTTTGGATGTGCGACGTAACCGTAACGGACCCGGTGTCTTACCAGGACGAGAGCTGCAACCGAGCTCCTGGATGGGCGGCTAGGGCGGCGGCAGCAAAGAAGGAGGAGAAGTACGCCCGCAGGAATGCGTGGGTGGGGTTCCACGCGCTTGCGGTGGAAACGTACGGCTACCCCTCGCCTGGGGTGATGGCTTACCTTCGGCAATGCGCAGAGCTGGCGGCGAAGCTGCGGTTTAACGCGGCTCCAACCTCGTACGAAGCAGCGAAGCTGCTGACAGAATATCGCCAGCGCTGGAGTGTGTGCCTCCAGCGGGCGCAGGCCAATGCGCTCCGCACCAAGACCAACGAGGCCTTGGCTGCAGACGAGCTTGGCTTCCGGGGCCCCATAGTCCCCCTCAGCGAGGGGCAGCTTCACCAGCTGATTGAGGCCCCGTCCGACCAGTAGGGTCGGGCCAAGGGAGGGGCCTGAGTGGGTAGGAGTTTGGAGGTGGTTAGGTCTCTGGTTTGGGTGTTTGTTTGTTAGCATGCGTGTTTGCAACTTCCTTTGTACCACCCCTTATGTAATGCACGGACCATTCGAGAGAGAGAGAGAGAGAGAGTGTGTGTGTGTGTGTGTGTCTGTGTGTGTGTGTGTGTGTGTGTGTGTGTGTGTGAAGTTCTCCTCCTCTCTTTCTCTCCCTTCCCCCTCCCATCCGTTTCATACCAGGGCCACAAGGAGTGGCTGGCAGAGGTGAACTTTCTGGGAAACATCCAGCACCCGCGGCTGGTGCGGTTGCTGGGGTACTGTGCGGAGGAGGAGCATCGGCTGCTGGTGTACGAGTTTGTGCCCAACAAGTCCCTCGAAGATCACCTTTTCAAGTCCAATACAGCTAAGGGCGGGCCGGGGCTGGCCTGGCTGGATCGCATTAAGATTGCTCTTGATGCAGCCAAGGGACTGGCTTACCTGCATGACGAGACAGAGAACCAGGTGAGGAGTGGTGAGCAGTGGTGCGGTGTGCTTGCTGTGTGCCGGGGCAACAGGGTCTGTTGGAGCATCCCAGGGCAAGAGGGGCAGGTGCTGGGCTGCTGGGGTACTGTGCGGAGGAGTAGCATTGGCTGCTGGTGTACGAGTTTGTACCCCCTGCTGGTGTACGAGTTTGTACCCCCTGCTGGTGTACGAGTTTGGCAAGAGGGGCAGGTGCCGGACTTTGAACCTTGCTAATCATCCATCCACACATATTTTGTTACCCCTGTTCCCCCTTTCTCCTCTTCCCCACAACCAAAGGTGATCTTCAGGGACTTCAAGGCGGCCAATCATCCATCCACACATATATTGTTCTCCCTGTCCCCCCTCCCCCCTCTTCCACACACCCTTGCAGGTGATATTCAGGGACTTCAAGGCCGCCAACATCCTCCTGGACAACGACCTGCATGCCAAGCTGTCCGATTTTGGGCTTGCCAGGGCGGGGCCTGAGGGCGACCGCACACACGTCAGCACGCAGGTGAGAGGATATGGGTTTGAGAGGCACGTTAGGCACACGAGGTTCATGCACGTGTGCGCACGAGGGCTCGCCAGGGCAGGGCCTGAGGGCGACCGCACACAAGTCAGCACGCAGGTGAGAGGACACGGATACGGGTCTGAGGCAGGTAGGCTTTTCCCAGATGAAAGTGTGTTATTCTGCTCCAAATTATGGTGTTTTTGAGAGCTCTCAAAAACTCCCTGCAGATGAAAGTGCGTTATTCTGCTCCAAAGTATGTCGTTCGTGGCAGATTTCTGAGTCGACTCGGAAATGGGTCTCCTCACCACCACCATACCCTCATTACACCTCCCTTACCCTCCCCTAATTGCATTGCAAGTGGTAGGCAGAGTGGGCTACGGCCCAGAATCCTGATGTGTGGAGCTACGGGGTGGTGCTGGTGGAGCTGCTGCTGCTTCTCACGACCCGTCCGTCCCCCTTTCTTCCCTCTATTTCTCGCTCGCTGATTCCAGGCGATGGGCACAGTGGGCTATGCCGCCAGAGAGTACGTGCTAACAGGCCACCTGACAGCTCGCAGTGACGTGTGGAGCTACGGGGTGGTGCTGGTGGAGCTGCTGACTTATCTCCTCACTAACCCCCCTTTCCCCATTCTTCCCTCCATTTCTCCCTGAAAGCAGGTCGTAGGCACAGTGGGCTATGCCGCACCAGAATATGTCCTAACAGGTCATCTCACAGCACGGAGTGATTTGTGGAGCTACGGGGTGGTGTTGGTGGAGCTGCTGACACCTCAGTAACCGCCCCTTCCCCCTTTCTTCCCCCTTTCTTCCCCCTTTCTTCCCCCTTACCACGCCCTGACTGCAGGTGGTAGGCACAGTGGGCTACGCTGTGCCAGAGTATGTCCTAACAGGCCACCTCACAGCGCGCAGTGTAGTTTTGAGGCGCCTCAAAACTGCCCCAGAGTATGTCCTAACAGGCCACCTCACAGCGCGCAGTGTAGTTTTGAGGCGCCTCAAAACTGCCCCAGAGTATGTCCTAACAGGCCACCTCACAGCGCGCAGTGTAGTTTTGAGGCGCCTCAAAACTGCCCCAGAGTATGTCCTAACAGGCCACCTCACAGCGCGCAGTGTAGTTTTGAGGCGCCTCAAAACTGCCCCAGAGTATGTCCTAACAGGCCACCTCACAGCGCGCAGTGTAGTTTTGAGGCGCCTCAAAACTGCCCCAGAGTATGTCCTAACAGGCCACCTCACAGCGCGCAGTGTAGTTTTGAGGCGCCTCAAAACTGCGCCAGAGTATGTCCTAACAGGCCACCTCACAGCGCGCAGTGTAGTTTTGAGGCGCCTCAAAACTGCCCCAGAGTATGTCCTAACAGGCCACCTCACAGCGCGCAGTGTAGTTTTGAGGCGCCTCAAAACTGCCCCAGAGTATGTCCTAACAGGCCACCTCACAGCGCGCAGTGTAGTTTTGAGGCGCCTCAAAACTGCCCCAGAGTATGTCCTAACAGGCCACCTCACAGCGCGCAGTGTAGTTTTGAGGCGCCTCAAAACTGCGCCAGAGTATGTCCTAACAGGCCACCTCACAGCGCGCAGGGTAGTTTTGAGGCGCCTCAAAACTGCCCCAGAGTATGTCCTAACAGGCCACCTCACAGCGCGCAGTGTAGTTTTGAGGCGCCTCAAAACTGCCCCAGAGTATGTCCTAACAGGCCACCTCACAGCGCGCAGTGTAGTTTTGAGGCGCCTCAAAACTGCGCCAGAGTATGTCCTAACAGGCCACCTCACAGCGCGCAGTGTAGTTTTGAGGCGCCTCAAAACTGCCCCAGAGTATGTCCTAACAGGCCACCTCACAGCGCGCAGTGTAGTTTTGAGGCGCCTCAAAACTGCCCCAGAGTATGTCCTAACAGGCCACCTCACAGCGCGCAGTGTAGTTTTGAGGCGCCTCAAAACTGCGCCAGAGTATGTCCTAACAGGCCACCTCACAGCGCGCAGTGTAGTTTTGAGGCGCCTCAAAACTGCCCCAGAGTATGTCCTAACAGGCCACCTCACAGCGCGCAGTGTAGTTTTGAGGCGCCTCAAAACTGCCCCAGAGTATGTCCTAACAGGCCACCTCACAGCGCGCAGTGTAGTTTTGAGGCGCCTCAAAACTGCCCCAGAGTATGTCCTAACAGGCCACCTCACAGCGCGCAGTGTAGTTTTGAGGCGCCTCAAAACTGCCCCAGAGTATGTCCTAACAGGCCACCTCACAGCGCGCAGTGTAGTTTTGAGGCGCCTCAAAACTGCCCCAGAGTATGTCCTAACAGGCCACCTCACAGCGCGCAGTGTAGTTTTGAGGCGCCTCAAAACTGCCCCAGAGTATGTCCTAACAGGCCACCTCACAGCGCGCAGTGACGTGTGGAGCTACGGGGTGGTGCAGGTGGAGCTGCTGCCTTCTCTCTTCTCACTAGCCGCACTCCCTCTCCTCTCCCTATCCCTCCCTGGCGGCAGGTTGTAGGCACAGTGGGCTATGCCGCACCAGAATATGTCCTGACAGGCCACCTGACAGCTCGCAGTGACGTGTGTAGCTACGGGGTGGTGCTGGCGGAGCTGCTGCCTTTCTTTGACTGCCGCTCCCCCCTTCTTCCCCCAATTTCTCCCTCACTAATCGCAGGTGGTAGGAACAGTAGGCTACGCTGCGCCAGAGTATGTCCTAACAGGCCACCTGACAGCGCGCAGTGATGTGTGGAGCTATGGGGTGGTGTTGGTGGAGCTGCTGACGGGCAGGAGGGCGCTGGACGAGAGTCGACCCAGAGAAGAGGTCTTCCTTGTGGACTGGGCCAAGCCGTACCTTGCAGAAACGTGAGTGCAGTGCGGTGCAATGCGGTGGGGTGCGGTTTCGTGGGTTGTGTGTGGTTTGGTGTGGTGTGTGGTACGGTGTGGTGTGTGGAGCTACGGGGTGGTGCTAGTTGAGCTGCTGACGGGCAGGAGGGCGCTGGACGAGAGTCGCCCCAGAGAAGAGGTCTTTCTCGTGACCTGGGCCAAGCCCTACCTTTTTTGAGGCGCCTCAAAAATCGTCTCAGAGAAGAGGTCTTTCTCGTGACCTGGGCCAAGCCCTACCTCGCAGAGACGTGAGTGCGGTGCAATGGGGTGTTTTCGCTTCAATATTATGGAACCAGGGTTTGAGGGCAAGTGCAAAACCACAGCTTTCTCGAAACCACCCCAACCCCTTCCTCCCCTTCCCTTTCCCTTCCACTTCCCCATCTTTTCCCCCAGACGCCGCCTCTTCCGCATTATGGACCCAGGGTTCGAGTCACATGCAGTTATCACCTTTACTCCCAGCTCATCCACTCCCAATTTCTCCCTTCCCCCGTGCCTATCGTCCCAATCCCAGACGTCGCCTCTTCCGAATCATGGATCCGGGGTTCGAGGGCAAGTACTCAGCCAAGGCATCGCAAAAAGTGGCTGCATTGGCGCTCTGGTGCTTAGCTAAGAACCAGAAGCAGCGCCCCACCATGACCCAAGTGGTTGAGTCGCTTACTCCACTGCTCGACCTCACAGGTATGGAATAAGCTGTGCTATTTGCTCCCCAATGTCTGAAGTACCTTGCTTGCTCAGCTGAGAACGAGAGGCAGCGCCCCACCATGTCCCAAGTTGTTGAGCCACTCACCCCGCCGCTCGACCTCACAGGTAGGGATCTACACTCTGTAGTCCCTGCCTTGTGAAGTACATTGCTGCTTAGCCTAGATTTTAGCAGGAAGCGGAGGACTGGGAGGCAGAGGAAGGAAGGATTAGGAACACCTGGTGCATTGGGGGCTCTAGCCACACGTCATACTGCTGGCGCCTCTTCCCTCCTTGACACTCCCTCCTTTCCCCCTCCCCACTTTTCCCCTCCACCCCGGACAACCCCCCTTCCTCTCCCCCCTCTTCACCAGACAATGCCGGCCTGTCTGCATCGCCAGCCCCCATCACCTCTTCGTCCCTCTCCCCTCCTCACCCCGTCTTCCCCTTCCCCCCGCCCTCGCCTCCCTCCCCACCCCACACCAGACAATGCCGGCCTGTCAGCATCGCCAGCCCCCATCACCCCTCTCCGCGTGCCGCCCTCATCCCGTCTCCCCCCCTCATCCCGTCTCCCCCCCTCATCCCGTCTCCCCCCCTCATCCCGTCTCCCCCCCTCATCCCGTCTCCCCCCCTCATCCCGTCTCCCCCCCTCATCCCGTCTCCCCCCCTCATCCCGTCTCCCCCCCTCATCCCGTCTCCCCCCCTCATCCCGTCTCCCCCCCTCATCCCGTCTCCCCCCCTCATCCCGTCTCCCCCCCTCATCCCGTCTCCCCCCCTCATCCCGTCTCCCCCCCTCATCCCGTCTCCCCCCCTCATCCCGTCTTTCCCCCCCTAGCCTCACCTCCCTCCCCCCTCCACACCAGACAATGCCGGCCTGTTAGCATCGCCAGCCCCCATCACCCCCCTCCGCGTCCCCCCGCCTCGCCCATGGGTTTCTTAAACCCCGGGGCAGGAGGGGGCCCAGGCACACCAGGAGGGAGGGGACTGGGAGGCGAGGGATTAGGCACTCCCGGTGCATTGGGTGCTCTCGCCATGCGCCGCGCTGTTGCCTCTTCCCTCCTTGACACTCCCTCCTTTCCCCCTTCCCGTTTTTCCCCCACCCCGCTTTCCCCTCTCCACATCAGACAATGCCGGCCTGTCAGCATCGCCAGCCCCCATCACCCCTCTCCGCGTGCCTCCCGCCTCGCCCATGGGTTTCTTGAACCCTGGAGCAGGAGGGGGGCCAGGAACACCAGGAGGCGGCGGATTAGGCACTCCCGGTGCACTGGGTGCTCTAGCCATGCGTCGCGCTGCCGGCCCTCCCTCCCCCGGGGTTGGACCGGGACCGTTCTCCCCTGCGCAGTTCAACTCCCTGAATCCACCTCCTAATGCCCGGTTCAGCCTGCGGCCGCCGCAGCTGCCTGTGGGAAAGCAGCAGTATACTTCCCCGTTGGTTGCTGCTTTGAGAGTGAAGGAGCAGCAGCACAAGCAGGTTCAGCAGCAGCAGCAACAGCAACAGCAGCAGCAGCAACAACAGCAGCAGATGCAGGCAGGAAATAGCGCAGGAGCAGGAGGAGGAGCGGGATGGGGAGGGGGAGCAGGGGGGGTGGCAGGGGGTGTGGGAGTGGGAGAGGGAGTGGACGATGGCGGGGGTGTGGGGACGGTGAGGGAGAGGGCAAATGTAGGGAGGGCTGTGCCTTTGGCCATTCAGGTGAACCGGCCCCGATTTGGGGTGGGAGCGGGAACCAACCACGAGAGAATGGAGGGGGTGAAATGATTTTAGGGGCCTTGGATAAAAGTCTAACCACGGGGGACAGAGTATGGAGGAGGTGTGGGGACGGTGAGCGAAAGAGCAAATGAAGGGAGGGCAGTGCCTTCTTCAGCCATTTTGGTGAACCGGCCTCGGTTTGGGGCGGGAGCGGGAACCAACCACAAGAGAATGGAGGGGGTGAAGTGACTCTGAGGCCCTTAAATAACAAGCAACCACGAGGGAACGGAGGATGGCGGAGGTGTGGGGACGGTGAGAGATAGTGCAAATGTAGGGAGGGCTGTGCCTCTAGCCATTCAGGTGAATCGGCCTCGGTTTGGGGCCGGAACCAACCACGAGAGAATGGAGGGGGTGAAATGATTCTGGGGCCCTGGCCCCTTAAATAAAAGTCAACGGTGAAGTGGTGGAGGATGGAGGGTATGTGGGCTTAGGGTGACGGAGAGTGCGAGTTTAGGGAGGGCAGCCTTTGGCCATTCAGATGAAGCAACCACGAGAGAATGGATGGGGTAAAGTGATTTCCGAGACCCTTTTTTTTTTAACCGACTACGAGACAATGGAGGGTCGGTGGGGAACGGTGGGGGGAGAGGGGGGGGGTGAGGGGTGAGTAGTCAGGTAAAGCGAATAGCCTATTGTTTCCGTATTTGAGGCGTTTCACAAACCTGTCAGGTGACACGGCCTCGACTTGGAGCAGGAGCAGGTCGCACGAGAATGGAGCGGATGAAGTGTTATTTTTGAAGGTATTGCATATGTTCACACATGCACGCATCAATCCCTGCCTGCAGAACATTTTTTTTGGAGAAGAGTAGGGTAGATTGTATCTTTTAGGGGCTGTTATCTGTATCTAAGGGCCACCACCTCTGGGAGCTTCTACGTTTTGAAAGTTGCTTCTCAGCAACATCTCTGGTTTTGGCAGGTTGGACATACGTAAGCGTGGGTGGAGTGTGGTTGTGAATCTCAAAACTTGCACCTGGAAATGAATAACACCAAAACTTCATTGCTCCAATGTTCTGCCCCTCACCACGCTGAAAGATCGTCGAGCCTGTAAATTCCAAAGCCTGCTGAAACGGTCGGTTGGATGCTTCCATTGCATCCTTCCGGTAACCTGGCCTCCCAGCTTGCAGCAGCGAAACAGCTACAAGTGTCTGCGACGTCGGCTGGGCATCGGTCGGTGGCGAAGAGCTGGAAGAATCCTTCGCATGTGTGAGGGGAATCTTCGCCAGCGAACCTGCTGACATTGATTACAAATATTGGGCGATTTCTCATTTTCGATTGTGCACTTGTCCCCAAAAATTGGTGCTCGAAGAAATATGTGAGCTGGACTTCAAACTCCCTCGCAACTTCGGAAATTCGAAAGCCATGGCTAACTCGCAACGCGCCTCGTGGATTCTGCTCCTGCTCGTTACGTTCCTTCACTCCGCTCTGCCTAAGGCGCATAGCTCCTGGGTCACTCACGGAGGCGACCTCCTGAACCGCCGGTGGGCAAAGAATGAGCGCCAGATAACCCCATTCTCCGCTTCCCAGCTTGCATTATCCTGGGAATTCACCACTCAAGGCGATGTCAGCGCAACACCCGCTGTGTTCGGCGATTTCGTCTACTTCCCCGACGCGGCAGGGTACCTTTACGCGGTGAGTCGGAGCACGGGAGCTACCGTCTGGCAGAAGCGCATTCGTACGGATTATGGAATCGACCAGGACAATTTCCAGGGTCGCGACCCGTACTCTCTTGCCACTCCTGTTGTGGTTGACGGCAGCGGGTTTCTCGGAGACCTCCTCATCATAAGCGTTTACGGGCCGGCGTACGTCTTGGCAGTGCGATGCAGCGACGGCGGCCTGGTCTGGAAAACACTGGTTGATCCGCATCCGGCGGCAGTTGTAATGGGGTCCGGTACGGCGTACTGAAACGGGTTCTACGTTGGCGTTGCATCTATGGAGGAGTTGTTCACGTCAGATCCGGCCTACCCCTGTTGCACCTTCATTGGAAGCGTCGTGAAGCTGAAAATCGTCGATGGTGCAAAAGTGTGGCAGACTTTCACTCTGCCGCCCAACGGCGGAAACGCCAGCCTGTATGCCGGCGCGGCTGTGTGGGGTGCGAATCCATCGATCGACGAGGCGAGGAAGCTGGTTTTCGTCGCGACTGGTAACAAATATCGCGTGCCTGATTACGTTTCGCAGTGCCAGCAGGACCAGGAAGAAAACGGCGGGACTCTTCCCGTCAAATGCATTGAGCCTGGAAACCACTTCGACTCTATCCTCGCAATTGACCTCTCGAGTGGTTACATACAATGGGCGACAAATCTAAGCCCGCTCGACGCATTGAACCTAGCGTGTATCACGGAAACGCCTTCTCCTAATGGCGTATTCCTAGCTTCGGGTCATCCGGTGTTTGTGTCATCCGAAAATTGTGGTAGCCAATCGAAAAACACGCTGTTCGAAATCCGAATGTTTCGATTGGATACCGCAAATTTCGGATGACATGAAGCCGGGATGACCCGAAGCCAGGAATACGCCCTAACTGCCCTCCTACTCCTGGCAAAGACTACGATTTCGGAATGGCCCCTCTGCTAATGTCCATTGAGACGAACATCACAAAGGGAAATGGACAGCAATGGGCAAAACGCGACATTGCAGTGGCAGGCCAAAAGTCCGGAATAATCTGGGCCCTCGATCGTGATGATGGATCAATCGTGTGGTCCACGGCTGCTGGCCCAGGGGGGCTTCTTGGAGGTGCGTTGTGGGGAATTGCAACAGATTTGGAGCGAATTTACGTGGGAATTGAGAACAGCGATTTCAAGAATTTCACTCTTTTGCCTTCCGCTACAGTCACAAATGGCAGTGCTTGGGTTGCGCTCGATGCTGCAACGGGGGCTGTGCTGTGGTCAACGGCCAATCCGACTACCCTAGGTTGGGCGATGCTTCCTTCGACAGCCAATGGGGTGGTGTTCGCAGGCTCGCTGGACATAGAGGGGCACGTATACGCGTTTGATGCTGCATCGGAAAATATCGTATGGTCCTTTGCACCTGGCGCTTCTGTTTATGGTGGAATATCTGTAGACCGTGGTTGCATTTTCTTTGGTAGGGGGTATGGTTTTCCGGGCCTTCCCTATGCCACTGGTGTCAGAATCTAGCAGCAGGAATGAATGAACTAGTAGCATGCAGGAGTACAAGTAGTAAACCCTAATTGGGCTGTACCCCATATGGGCTACCCCACTACAGCCTAGACAATATGCAGCATATATGTTTGACACACCCCCATAGGCAAAGTGGGGGAGAACAAGGGGTCAAACGACCAGTCAAGAGAAGCAAAGCAAGCTCAGGGTGGATCTCAACGTCACCACACATTCTGAGCACAAGCAAAGGGCCACAAGGCCAGTCCACATGCAGAGATATATATGCAACAATAACAGTACAGTGATGACTACCTAGCAAGAGCAAGCATGCAGGCATATATATAGATCACAGTACAAGCAGAGACTACAGCAAGTGTGGAAACGTAGGCACAAGGCCTAACAGGGTACAAAAGCGCTGATGATCACCAGACGGAAGTGCCTTGGTGAATATATCAGCAGTGTTGGCCCGAGTGGCCACGTGACGAAGACGAAGCTGGCCTCGCTGCTGCAACTCTCGAGCCAGGAAGTAACGCAGAGCAATGTGCTTCGTTTTGTGCTCCAGTCTGTGCTCCTCACACAAGGCAATGGCGGCCTTGTTGTCGACGTACAGCACTGGAGGAGAACGAGGCTGCTCTCCCAAGTCAGTCAGCAGGTAGGTGAGCCAGCGTAACTCCTGTGCAGCCATGGCTGTGGCGTAGATCTCAGCCTCACAATTGGAGCTGAGAACTGAAGACGAGCGTGTAGAACGCCACGAAACTGAACCAGAGCCAAGGCTGAAGGTGTAACCCTGTGACGACCGCTGAGTAGCCTGGTCGTCAACCCAAGAAGCGTCTGAGTGCCCAGTGAGGACAACTGGGCTCGTCCCTCCAAGCACTAGCCCCATGCCTGATGTGCTGCACAAGTAGCGCAGTACCCTCTTAGCAGCAGCCATGTGCTCAGGTCGGTGCCGACCAGGAGCCACGTAGCGAGCTAGAAGACCAAGAGGGTACGCGAGGTCAGGTCGAGTGCAAGTCATCAGGTACATGAGGCAGCCGACTAGCTCTGGGTAAGGACCACTCGGCTCTACGGACTCGTCCGAAGGTGGAGCTGAGAGCGTGTGACCTGTAGCCAGAGGAGTGGCCTGTGCTGAAGACCAGGTGAAGCCGAAGCGCTGAAGGACCTGCTGCACCATGTGTGACTGAGTCAAGGTGATGGTGCGGCGTGCTCTGTCCCGGGTGATCTGCAAGCCAAGGTAGCTGCGCAGCTCACCCAAGTCTGTGCACGTGTGTCTCTTCTGCAGCTCTGACTTCACGTGGGCGAGAGCCTCAGTGTCAGCAGTGGCAAAAACCAAGTCGTCGACGTACACGAGGATGTAGAACGGCGGCAGTGAAGTGTCGGTGCGCAGAAACAGCGACGGGTCAGCAGTAGAAGGCGCGAACCCAAGAGCCGCAAGCGTAGTCCTCAGTGTGTCGTGCCACTCACGTGGCGCCTGGCGGAGACCGTAGACCGGCCGCCGGAGGCTCCACTGGGTGCCAGGAGGGAACGACCCAGTGAAGCCCGGGGGGCGGCGCAGCCAGATCTCCTCGTGCAGGCTGCCCTGCAAGAAAGCTGTGCTGAAGTCAAGAGAGTGAAGCTCGTAGTCACGGTGAGCAGCAACATGCAGCAGCACCCAAAGAGTGGTCATCTTCGGGGTGGGGGAGAAGGTCTGGAAGAAGTCAACTCCCTCTCGCTGACTGAAGCCTCGAGCCACGTAACGCGCCTTGAAGACAGGCGGAGAACCCGGCGGCCGCTTCACCCTGAAAATCCACATGCCACTGACGATGTTCGCCCCAGGTGGGGGAACCTCGTCAACGTAGGTGCCTGTGGACTTCCAGGAAGCCATCTCTGCGTCCATGGCTGCCTGCCACTGAGAGGAGTAGGGACCCTCTATCGCCTCTGCGTAAGAGCGCAGAGTCGGGATGTCTGGTGCATCGGGGTCTCCCTCAGGGGCAAGTAGCGAGGACACAAGATGGGGTAAAGCAGCAGCAAGACACTGGAACTCCTCCTGCCTGTCCTCAAGGACGTCCGTGCTAAGAGCACACTCACCCCCGACGGACGGAGGACAGACAGACTCAGACTCAGCAACAAGACTGGCGGCGTAGTCTAGACGACAGGCAGCAGCAAAGTCAACAAGCTCAGCGACCAAGGCAGACGCAGCAGTAGACTCAAACGACGGGTCAGTGACAACAGTGGCTAGGAGACGCGTGACAGTAGGGTGCTCAGTACGAAACCGGTCAGACTCAGGGTCCGGAACGGCAGGCAGAGAGGACGCAGGGGGAGACGGCAGAGGAACAGGCTGCGGAGCAGAGGAAGGACGACGGACAACAAGGTGTGCGCTGGGGACAGCCGGCTGACGCGCACGAGCGACACGACGAACGGTACGACCAGAACGAACAGGCGAGACAGGACGCGACGCAGGCTCACGACGCGTAGCAGGACTGCCTGTCTGCTCAGTGTAAGGAGAGGGAGCAGGTAGCGGTGAGCCAGTCTGTAACGGAAGACCAGTAGACGACGGGAGAGTAATAACCTGACGAAGAGCAGAGTCAGGCGGCGGCAGAGACGACGGAGACGGCGGAGCGAAGAACAGTCGTGTCGGCGCAGCTGCACCAGTACCGGCAGCTCCAGCAGCTCCAGTGCCTCCAGCAGCTCCAGTACCTCCAGCAGCTCCCGTACCTCCAGCAGCTCCAGAAGCTCCAGTCCCAGAGCCGACACCCCCAGTCCCAGGGTCTCCAACCTCTGTGTCTCCAGCAGCAGCACCCCCAGACCCAGCACCTCCAGTCCCAGGGTCTCCAGCCTCAGTGTCTCCAGCAGCAGCACCCCCAGAACCAGCACCTCCAGTCCTAGGGTCTCCAGCCTCAGTGTCTCCAGCACGAGCACCTCCAGAACCAGCGACTCCAGCACCTCCAGTAGACAAAGGACCAGCACCACTCCTAGCTCCAGCAGCGCGACGCTGACGGCGACCGTACCAGTCCTGCAGCTGCTGTGGGGTGAGAGGCACACGTGGACGAAGGCGGCTACTCCAAGGAGACCGCGCAACAGCAGACTCAGAACCCTCAGCGCCCGCACCCCCAACGGCTCCAGAACCTCCGGTGTCAGTACCCTCAGCACCAGTACCTCCAGCGGCTCCAGAACCTCCAGCACGAGCACCCTCAGCAGCTCCAGAACCTCCAGCTCCAGCGCCACCAGTACTAGGCCCTCCAGCAGCTCCCGAACCTCCAGCGCCAGCACCCTCAGTAGCTCCAGAACCTCCAGCGTCAGTACCGCCAAGCTCAGCACCCCCAGACCCCTCACACTCAGGCTCAGCACCACCAGGCTCCACACCCTCAAGCTCCGCACCCTCAGGCTCAGCACCCCCAGGCTCAGCACCCCCAGGCTCCGCACCCCCAGGCTCAGCACCCCTAGAAGTAGCACCCCGAGAAGGACCACCCTCAGTAGGACCTGAGTCACCAGTGACCTCAACTGGCGCAGTCAAGGGAGGAGGGTCTACCTGAGAGACACCTGAAGGAGCAGGACCAGGAGTGGGGAGGGGGTCTACCTGGGGAGCACCTGGAGCAAGGAAGAGCGGCGGGGGGGGGAGCGGGGCAGTGCGGTAGGGGAAGAGACGGTAAAAGGGAACCGACTCGTCGAACGTGACGTCCTGAGACGCAAAGACACGGCGCGAGGTGGGATGGTAAAACTGCCAACCAGGCGCGTCAGGGACAAAGCCAAGGAAGACACAGGGAACAGCGCGGGCGGAGAGCTTGTCCGCGGTGGTATCGCGGACAAAGGCACGAGCACCCCAGACCCGGAAACGCGACGCATCACCAACCTTCCCCGTCCACAGCAGTGTGGGCGAGGTCTCCGGCAAGGAGACACGGGGCCAGAGGTTGAGCTGATGCGCGGCGTACCGGACCGCAAACGGCCACAGGAAATGGGGGGCAGCCGCATGGATCATGGAGGTACGAGCGACCTCCATGACTAAGCCAATGCGACGCTCAGCAACCCCATTCTGCTGTGGAGAGGCCGGAAGCGTGAACGACTGGGTGATGCCGTGCTCCGCACAGTAGGCTGCCAAGAGGTCAGATGAGAACTCACCACCTCTGTCAGAGTGCAGATGCAGGACAGGAAAGTCCCGCCGGAACCGCTCGCGGAGCTGGAGACGAACAGCGCGGATCCAAGGGATCAAAACATCAGGGACGTCCCCCTTGCTCTGCAAGGGGAAGACCGTGGTGTAACGCGTGTAGTCGTCGACAACCAGCAGGAAGTACCGCTCGCGGCCCTGTCCCTGGACGCGGGCTGGGCCCCACACGTCCAGGTGGAGCGTCTGCAGTGGAGCCTCTGTGGGAGGAAACGAGGAGGAGTGAGGAGCGGCGCGCTGCCGCCCCTCGACGCAAGGAATGCAGGGCGGCGCAGGCGAGGGAGGGAGGGCAGGCAGAGACCTGGGAAGACCAGAGACCAGGGAGCGAGAGTGCATGCTACGTAGGCGAGGCAAGGAGGGGTGACCAAGGTGGTGGTGCCACAGGAGAGTGTCGTGCGACAAAGCGCGACACTCGCAGGGGGCCGCCAGCTGACCAGACGTAGACGCAGACGCAGCTACCTGAGGGGACTCAGTGGTCAGTGTGTACAGACTCGAGCCAGGTGCACGGGTGAACGTGGCCAAGTGCCGGCCCGTCCTAGCACACGTACAGTGAGTCACTCGCTGACTCGCAGGAGTGAACTGGTCAACCTCCCGATCCTGGAGGTCAGCTCCACTCACCAAGTTCGTAGAGAACGAGGGGAGGTAAAGACCTGACAGCGAGCCGGACGGGACGGCCGGACACGGCAGAACCGTGGAGTAGTGGGCAAGGACTGGACCCCCGGAGGGGTCCGCCAGGGAGACTGGAACTGGCCGACTAAGCGGCGTGAGTGTGGTGCAGTCGCGAAAGAAGGAGCGAGAAGCTCCTGAGTCAAGGGTGAAGGTGTGCGAGACCGTAGTTGGCGCAGTACCAGAGAGAGCAGACTCACCAGCACCTGAAGCCACGGCCTCACCAGTACCTAGAGCAGTAGACGTACTAGCACCGAGAGCAGCAGCCTCACCAGCACCTAGAGCAGGAGACGCACTAGCACCTAGAGCAGCAGCCTCACCAGGGTCAGGCGGTACGCACAGATAACAGGCACGATCAGCACTAGTAGGCAATGCATACATGGCAGTGAGAATAGCATCATAGTCAAGCGCAAAGATATCTACCCTCTGTCCATGCAGCTCCAGCCAGGTGGGGAGCTCAGCCTCGTCGCCAAACACTGTGCGCCAGTCGTCGCTCAGACGGGCGAAGCAGCGGGACTGTGTGTGACCAAGCGTCCCACAAGGCTGACCAGTCCTAGCACCTGTGCGAATGACGTACGGGCAGCGAACTGTACGCGTAGACCTGCTACACTGAGCGTACCACTCCTGGAGCTGCCGGGGCGTAAGTGTCTCACGTGGACGCCCCTGCAGCTGCAGCTGGCCACTGCCAGACGCTCCCAACTGACCAGCTCCAGGGCGACAGCTACGACGGCTACTGCGACAACCCCAGCTAGTATACCACTCACTAAGCTGCTGGGGCGTCAGAGGCTCGCGTGAACGTCGCTGGAGCTGCATCTGGCCACCTGCCAGTAGCAGTAGCAGCAGCAGTAGCGCGGGCAAGGCAGGCGCGGCAGGCAGGCAGGCAAGCAGGCAGGCAGGCAGGCCGGCAGGCAGGCAGGCAGCCAGGCAGGCAGGCAAGCAGACAGACAGGCAGGCCGGCAGGCAGGCAGGCAGGCCGGCAGGCAGGCAGGCAGTCGCGCAGGCAGGCAGGCAGGCAGGCAGGCAGGCCGGCAGGCAGGCAGGCAGACAAGCCGGCAGGCAGGCAGGCAGACAGGCAGGCCGTCAGGCAGGCAGGCAGGCGCTCACCAAAGGCTGGGAGAGCAGGCGCTCACCGGGCGAGCAGGGCCGGCGCTCGACGGGCGGCGGCCGAGTAGGCGCACGACAGCGGCGGCGTCGGGGCCGCAAAACCGGCTGCAGAGCAGGGCCGAAGCAGCTGCAGGGCGGGGCCGCTTCAGCGGCAGTAGCAGGGTGGGGCCGCGTCAGCGGCAGGTCGGGGCCGTGGCAGCTGCAGGGCGGGGCCGCATCAGCGGCAGGTCGGGGCCGTGGTAGCTGCAGGGCGGGTCCGCATCAGCGGCAGGTCGTGGCCGAGGCAGAGGGCCGCGCGCGGCTCGGCGCGGGCTGCGCTGACAGCGCGCTGAGCTGCTGCAGGCCGCGCGCGGCCGCGCTAGGCAGTAGCGGGCCGCGCGCGGCTCGGCGCGGGCTGTTGCGGGCCGCGCGCGGGCCGCGCGAGGCAGTAGCAGGCCGCGCGCGGCTCGGCGCGGGCTGCTGCGGGCCGCGCGCGGGCCTCGCGAGGCCGTAGCAGGCCGCGCGCGGCTCGACGCGGGCTGCGTGGGCTCGGCGCGGGCTGCGCGCGGCAGCTGCGGGCTGCGCGCGGCTGCAGCGGGCTGCGCGCGGCTCGGTGCGGGCTGCGCGCGGCTGCAGCGGGCTGTGCGCGGCTCGGCGCGGGCTGCGTGGGCTCTGTGCGGGCTGCGCGCGGCTGCAGCGGGCTGCGCGCGGCTCGGCGCGGGCTGCGCGGGCTCTGTGCGGGCTGCGCGCGGCTGCAGCGGGCTGCGCGGGCCTTACGGGCCTCTAGGGGCAGCGCGCTGCCCTGGGGCAGCAGGAGGCAGCGCTAGGGCTGCTGGACGGCGCACATAGTGCAGCACGTCACAAGGCAAGGCAAGGCAGGCAGGTACGTGGGGTAGCGCGGTAACCGCAGCGGTAGGTGGGCCCGAAAAAAAAAAAACGGTCCTACGGACCTTAGTGCTCTGAAACCATGTCAGAATCTAGCAGCAGGAATGGATGAACTAGCAGCATGCAGGAGTACAAGTAGTAAACCCTAATTGGGCTGTACCCCATATGGGCTACCCCACTACAGCCTAGACAATATGCAGCATATATGTTTGACAACTGGCGGTGGGCCACAGCGTGTCTATGCCTTCTGTGTCGCTCATGGAGTTTGAACAGACTCCATCAAGAGAAAAGAATTTGATGACTACGATTCTAGGATTGCAATCCTTTCTGCTCAATCCTTGACTTTTTGGGAGAGTTCCGTCTGCAACAGCCGCAACTTGAATTACAACCAGATTGTTTACACAGTACAAATTCATGTGCATAGCATAACACCTACATGTAATCGTAACGTGCAACCCCTATTCATGCATAAGCTTCAAAATCGCCTCTCTAAAGATTGGTGACACATCCAAGATGCGGAACTTGCTGGGCTTTGATCCTGCCACAGATGGATGCTGCTTGCCACGGTGGAGGGGAGGGGGTATGATGGGAGGGGAAGGAGAGGAGAGGGAAAGGGGAAAATGGAAAGAGAGGGGGACGGGGAGGTGAGAGGGATATCGGTGGCACATCCAGAATGTGGAACTCGCTGTGAGCATTTTTGAGAATTCTCAAATATTGGTGACACATCCAAGATGTGCAACTTGCTGGGCTTCGATCCGGCCGCAGACGGATGCTGCTTGCCATGGTGGAGGGGAGGGGAGGGGAAGGATGGGATGGGATGGGAGGGGAAAGGAAGGGCGAAGTGGGAGAAACCATGCGAGGGAGAAGGGGAAGATGAGAGAGATTGCAGTGGTCAGAGTGACTAAATCCGACCAAAATAGCGCAACAGAATGTACAGTTCTGCTGGAGAGGTAAACACGCCTACAATGATGCATGTGCCCAGAACATGCATGATACAAAGTATTATGGTAACGCAATACCGGTATGACACACTCCTTGCACAACCATGCACCATGTAATGCAGCAGTCATGCACTGCACTGCACTGCACTTCACCGAGCGCATTATGGGATGTTTGTTAGTCGATACACTTTAGAACACTGAAAGAAGCAATCTTGGCACATACTTTACCATGATCATGGGGTGATGGCTGCTGGAGGAGAGGAGACGATGACACTGATGCAGCTCTCCTCCGGCATGGTGAATTTAAGCCGTGTTTTGAGTCGACTCGTGTTTTGAGTCGACTGAGAACTGTACCATGCTCATGGGGTGGTGGCTGCTGGAGGAGAGGAGACGATGACGCTGATGAATCTGGGCCCTCCATGCTCTCCTCCAGCATGGTGAGTTAAAGCCAACTCGAAGGTCAGCAAAAGACACGTGATAAAAGTAACATTTTGAGACATCTCAAAACGCTGATGAATTCAAGCCCTCCATGCTCTCCTCCAGCATGGTGAGTTAAAGCCAACTCAAAGGTCAGCATAACGCGCAGCAAGCATGCGCTGTACCATGCTCATGTTGCGGCTGGCTGTCAGCATGTGATGCAGCATATATACACTGTACCGTGCTCATGGGGTGGCTGTTAGTCGAAATAGGGCTAACGGGAAATCCAGCATGCGCCGTACCATGCTCATAGGGTGGCTGTTAGTGGAGATGATGACACTGATGCAGCTCTCCTCTAGCATGCGAATTACCTCCTCTGATGCCAATGCGAAGTGGCTGTGGTTACACGGTGTAAGAGAGGCAGATGTGGGGAATGGAGGGGAGAAGAATCAGAGACAAAGGACAGCTCTCCTCCAACATGCGGACCATCTCCTCTGATGCCAACGCAAAGTGGCTGCAGTACACGGTGAAAGAGAGGCAGCCGTGGGGAAGGTAGAGGAGAGGAATCAAGACAGGGAACGGCTCTCCTCCAATATGCAAACCACCTCCTCTGACGCCAAGGCGAAGTGGCTGTGTTACATGGTGCAAGGGAGGGCACAAGAGGGAAAGGCAGTGGGAAGGTTGTGGGGAGGAGACAGAGACAGGAAAGAGCTCGTTTTCAACATATGGATAATTTCTTATGATGCAACAGTGAACTGAATGGGCAACACAGTGCACGGGAAGGGCAGATGAGGGAAGGGGAGTGGGATGGGAACGGGGAAACAGGAGAGGCGAAACGCATTCTCTGACGCGAGAGCAAAGTGGATGTGTTACACGGTGCAAGGCGGAGCAGAGGAGGGAAGGGGAGTGGGAAGGCAATGGTGAGAAGCAGAGAGGTGCAGAGAAAGAAGGTAACTGTCGTCAACATGTGGATCACTTCTCTTTGACGCTCGGGTGAAGTGAGTGTTTCCATAAAAATACAGAACCAGAAAGGATGGTCAGAAGCAAAATGAGAGGACGCGAACACGGCATGCTATATGGCATGAATGGCAGACTTTGGGATGACACAACATACCATAACATGGATTGAATCGCACCTCATGACATAGCATGGCATACCATGGCATGGCACTGCATGGGATGCCATAGCATGGCATGGCACGGCATGTCGGAACATGGCAAGGCAGGGCTGTACCTGAGAACAGCGCTGACTCGACTGGCTCCTCTGGCCATGTATGCATCTGCTGCCTTCACCAGCGTGCCTGGTAAAGAAGATGAGAGGAGGGAAGAAGAGGAGGGAAGAGGAGAGGAGGAGAGGCGAGGGAAGGAGAGGAGAGGAGAAGAACGAAAACTTAAATTCATCTCCCCTGTGTGTCACGACATCATCTATTATCACATCACATTGAGAACCTGTGCATGAATATCATCAATCATTACCACACTACCTCTTGCATCAGGCATCACATATAACCACAGTAACGCTTGCTCCGCCTGCGTATCAATTCATCACTACCCTCTTGTGCGATCACACACATTTTCAAATCTGATACATCACATATCGTATATAATCACGCGCTTACCTCCAGTGCGTGTCATATCATCGTATATAATCACATGCTTGCCAGTCACCTCGCCCACCACTCCTAGCACCTGTTGGCATTGCAGCACACCACATGAATTGGTATGACAAGGATTTGCGCTATGCTACACAAAGGATGCGGGTACCATCAAGATTGCGAGAAGGCTGCGGGAGAGAGACATGAGAGAGGTGTGTGGGGTGAAATGTTTCAATGGAAAGGCCAGCTTACCGATGTCTCCTGCATGTGCCTTGACTTCCTCACGAAGGCCACATCCACATTGAACTTGCGCGCAAAGCTCTCCACCTGATATGGTTCGGCGGGGTGCGATGGGATGCGATGGGTTAGCACGTGGTGGGATAGAGTGGTATGCGGTGGAATTCGGTGGGGGGGACGGCCCACACCCAAACACAGATGCAAGGACACAGATACTCTCACACACACATACAAGTTGAAAACACAGACACAAGCACACAGAGAGACAGGCATGCACATTGTCTCACTGAACAAAGGTCCCGTCCCGCCCATTCCACACACTGGCATTTCACATCACCCTCCACCACACAAACCATCATGGCATGCCATCAATTACCTCGCATGCGATCAACAAAATATTGCTCTCCATATATTGCTATTCCGTGTCTATGCTATTGACTATGTCCCATAACCATGCTATCACCTATACCCATGCATCACCATGCATGTATGCACTCTATCCCGCCACCCACCCACAGTGGACGGCCGAGATCAGCTGAGGCGAACATGAACGGCTGAGATAGGTCCAGATGCGTCTTGATGCCCTCCAATAGCGCCTGCTCTGCATACAGCTCCATGCGGGTCTGTGGGGTCGGGGGGGAAGGATGCAGTGGGGGCTTGCGGTGAGAGGGGAGGATAGGACCGGATAAGGAAAGAGAACAAAAGCTTCTAATGTCGGCCACGCTCCAGTAGCGCACGCTCTGCATACAGCTCCATGCACGTCTGGCGGTGGTGTGGGGGAGAGAAGAGGCCAGGGGGGGAGGGAGAAAGGAGTTGGAAAAGGAGAGTAGGCAGAAGGTTTTGGTGTGAGCCACACTGCAGCAGCGGCTGTACAGCGAACAGCTCCATGCGGGTCTGGCGGTGGGAGGGGGGAGACGGAAGGGGAGGGGAAGGGGGGGAAGAAGGCGGTTGGAAAAGGAGAGTAGACAGAAGGTTTTAGTGTTAGCCACACTGCAGCAGCGGCTGGCTGCTCATCGTACAGCTCCATGCGGGTCTGCGGGTGGGGGGAGAGGGGAGAGGGAAGAAGGATTTTGAGATGTCTCAAAAACAGCTCCATGCGAGTTTAGCCCTGAGGGGAAAAGGATATTCATGCAGAGAAACAGAGACGCAAGCGGTTACTCATGCAAGCAAGGCAGCGACTGCTGCAGCAGCGACTCTGCGTTAATAACTCACACAGGACCCCTGAAGGTCCTGCAGCAGCAGCGACTGCACGTGGAGGGAGGTCCATAAAGAGGAAAATGTTGACTGATTAGAGAATGGTACGGGACTGAGCAAAACGGCATACTCACACACGGCCCTTCCAAATACTGCTGAGAAAGATGTTCTTCAGCTTGCTGTTAAGGATGCTGCTGAGGATGCTACGGCATGTCACTAGAACGGAACAGCATACTTACGCAGGGTCCTTCGAGGTACTGCAGCAGCGACTGCACGTGAAGGTCCATAAAGAGAAAGATGTTGCCCAGCTTGCTGTTGGGGATGCTGCTGAGAATGCGCGCGTTCACCTTGCTGGTTATCACCTCCCCCGGTAGCACCTGCCTCTCCATGGTGCTGGCAGGTGGGGGAGGTGGGGGAGGAGTGGAGAGGGGTGGGGAGGAATGGGGAAGAGGAAAGTGGGGTATGAGGGATGCTGCTGCTGAGAATGCGCACGTTCACCTTGCTGGTTATCACCTCCCCTGGTAGCACCTGCCTCTCCATGGTGCTGGCATGTGAGGAAGGAGCGCAGAGGGTTGGGGAGGAGTGGAGAGGAGTGGGGAGGAGTGGAGAGGAGTGGGGAGGAGTGGAGAGATGAAAAGGCGTGAGGCGAGGTACCGTTGTGAGGGATGCTGCTGAGAATGCGTGCGTTCACCTTACCGTAGCTGAGGAACGGAACACCCCGTACCTGTAGCCGAGGAATGGAACAATTATGTCCTGTATCTGTAGCCGAGCAACGGACGGAAATAAGGCGTACCTGTACCCAAGGAACGGGATGACGAAGATGCGGCGGCGGCTGCCATAGCCAGCGAAGGCGCAACCAAGCCGCACGAGCTCCAGCAGACCCCCCAACACCATGATGCTGGATTAGGGTACACACCTGTAACCGAGGAAGGGGATGACGACGGCTGCCATAAGCAGCGCAGGCGCAGGCCAGCAGCACCAGCTCTAGCAGACCCCCATGCCTGACAACATGATGCCGGATTAGGGTACATACCTATAACCGAGGAAGGGGATGACGAAGATGCGGCGGCGGCTGCCATAGGCAGCGAAGGCGCAGCCCAGGCGGACGAGCTCCAGCAGGTCGTCGTCCGTGTGTGTGGCTGCCACGAATATGACGTCCTGACCCACCAGCTGGTATTTTTCGTCCATCAGAACGCGTAGGTACTGTGTGGGAGATGGGCACATGGTTGGGAGGGACACAGGTACAGCGAACATTGACCATAAGCAGCGAAGGCGCAACCAAGCCGCACCAACTCCAGCAGGTCGCCGTCTGTGTGCGTGGCCGCCACGAATATCACGTCCTGCCCCACCAGCTGGTACTTCTCGTCCATCAGAACGCGCAGGTACTACATGTGAGAGAGAGGGGGAGGGGGAGGAGGGGGGGGGAGGGGGGGGGGGCAGGGTGAGGAGGGAAACATCTCCAGCAGGTCGTCGTCTGTGCGTGTGGCCGTCACGAACATGACGTCCTGGCCTACCAGCTGGTACTTCTCGTCCATTAGAACACGCAGGTACTGCAAAGAGCAAGGGGAGAAGATAGAGGTTTGAGATATGGAAACCCACATGTGTTAATTCAGACAGAAAAAAAAAAAAAAAAAAAAAAAAAAAAAAAAACAACGCCAACAATCACCTCGTACAAGTGCATAAAGCGAATAACTATGCGAGTATCTAAAGAGGAATGCACCGCATACCCTGAACCTCTAACCTCTAACCCTCAACCAAGACCTGCATCTAAAAACAAACATGCCGAATCTTATTAGGTCCCTGTTTCTAAGAGCCCTCAGCGACCTGTCCGTATGTTTAAAAGAAACTTCAAAGATCGCGGTAACCGAAAGTGCCCAGTAGTCGGATACGAGCTATCGGTTCAGTCACTTCAAGAAAAAAACGAGATACAACAGCATGTATTTGATTCGTTGCGCGCCTAAACAGTATCATCACCTTTTCGCCTCCTTTGAACTGTTTCCGGATCACCGTCCCGCGTTCGACGCTAAGCTGCTGCGCGATCAGATCTGCCAAATACGCGCTCGCCTCGCTAGAATACACCACGTAGTTCGACGCGCACGTCGTTCCGTGGTTCAGACTCGGGCACAATAACGCCGTCGAGTTCATCACAGCGTCGATCGCGGGAGACGCGCTGCCTGCAACCCCGTTGTTTGCTACCGCGCCGTCCGTGCCGGTACTCATGGCTGTCGCTTAATGTGTGACCTGTGAAAATGTGAGTGGAGCAAGGAGTAGAAGCACGCAATAGGAAAAAAAACGCTGGATGCGGGACGTTTCGAGGATCTTCGAATCTGAACGTTAATCCTCTAGATCTTGGTTGCGGAGGAGTAAGGACGTATTTCGGCTCAACCGACGACAGCATCCAACCTAGAACCCATAAGGCGGGAGGAATCAAACCTAGGAGGAAGACAAATTCAAGGAGGAACCTTGGGGATACTGTATCGTGGATTCTGCATGCACCACGAGCGAAACCCGCTCAGACTGATACATCCTCGCGTAAGACATCGCAGCCGTCCATTGTTCCCCTGAAAATGCGCCCAGAAGCTCGATGACTACAGTGCAGCCGTTGTTTCTGATTATTTTCGCCAACGATTCGCCAACAGGTTCGCAAATCGGCGCGTCGATTGTTCTGATCATTGGAGCATTTAGCACGCCCTAATACAGCATGCACACGCCTTCTGTTATCCGCTACAACTACAGAGACAAATCACTCTAAGCAGTGCATATATTATCAGATTGACATGTGAATGAGCGGAGGTCATATGTACGTGGAGTCTTCCTCCTCAAGGGATGACTTAAGCAAAATTTGCTGCACGTTTCAAACCACAAAAGGAGGAAAATAACATAACCCACAATAGAGCAATGTTAGAAAACATGAATTCAATGCAAGTGATGGACAAAGCAACACGGAACATACCATAAGTACTATGCATCAACTCAACAATGTACCTGTGTGCATGCGAGAGTGTATCGTATGTCTTCTGCTGAGATGTGATAATGTGTGACCATTCTTATCCTGGAAGGGGAAGATACGAGGGGGGGAACAGAAAAGCAAGAAAGTTAGTGAAATAAGCTCAGTGGTTGTTGCTTTGCAGGGTGGTAAGAACGCAGCCTGCCATAGAGCATGTGGAACATCTTTGTATGGTCCAGGTGCTCTGTATGCACTCACTCGTTGATGGTCCAGGTGCTCTGTATGCACTCACTCGTTGCTGGTCCAGGTGCTCTGTATGCACTCACTCGTTGCTGGTCCAGGTGCTCTGTATGCACTCACTTGTTGCTGGTCCAGGTGCTCTGTATGCACTCACTCGTTGATGGTCCAGGTGCTCTGTATGCACTCACTCGTTGCTGGTCCAGGTGCTCTGTATGCACTCACTCGTTGCTGGTCCAGGTGCTCTGTATGCACTCACTCGTTGATGGTACAGGTGCTCTGTATGCACTCACTCGTTGCTGGTCCAGGTGCTCTGTATGCACTCACTCGTTGATGGTCCAGGTGCTCTGCGTGCACTCACTTGTTGCTGGTCCAGGTGCTCTGTATGCACTCACTCGTTGCTGGTCCAGGTGCTCTGTATGCACTCACTTGTTGTTGCTGCGCAGGGTGGTGAGAACGCCAGCCTGCCGCAGAGCATTGCAGAGCTCCTCGGCTCCGATGGGGCAATCGGCCTTCACGTCCATGGTCACCTGCATGAAGCACAGATTACAAGCATGGGGCAAGGCATGGCACAAGCCGGTCAATCAGGCACAGCGCCTCAGCTCAGCTCCTCAGCTCCCATAGGGCAGTCGGCCTTCACGTCCATGGTCACCTGCATGGTGCCCTCATCATGCTAATCAACACAAGCAATCTTACAATGTTGGCGTCTTTGACTCTTACAATGATGGTGTCTTTGACTCTTACAATGATGGTGTCTTTGACTCTTACAATGTTGGTGTCTTTGACTCTTACAATGTTGGTGTCTTTGACTCTTACAATGATGGTGTCTTTGACTCTTACAACGATGGTGTCTTTGACTCTTACAACGATGGTGTCTTTGACTCTTACAATGTTGGTGTCTTTGACTCTTACAATGATGGTGTCTTTGACTCTTACAATGTTGGTGTCTTTGACTCTTACAATGTTGGTATCTTTGACTCTTACAATGATGGTGTCTTTGACTCTTACAATGATGGTGTCTTTGACTCTTACAATGATGGTGTCTTTGACTCTTACAATGTTGGTGTCTTTGACTCTTACAATGTTGGTGTCTTTGACTCTTACAATGTTGGTGTCTTTGACTCTTACAATGTTGGTGTCTTTGACTCTTACAATGATGGTGTCTTTGACTCTTACAATGTTGGTGTCTTTGACTCTTACAATGTTGGTGTCTTTGACTCTTACAATGTTGGTGTCTTTGACTCTTACAATGTTGGTGTCCACTGTGCTCACATCCACTGCCAGACCATCCAATGTATCCTTTGAAGGCACCTCTTCACACCCACTTTCAAACCATTGAATTCCTCTGTATCCATATCATCACCGCCACTGTACTGTACTCACAATGTTGGTGTCCACTGTGCTCACATCCACTGCCAACCCATCCAATGTATCCAACCCCTCTGCACAGGCAAAAACAATTGACAGAAAGAAGGATTTATTTTTTTTTTATTATTTTTTTTATTTTTTTATATTCCTTGCTTGATTAGCCTCAAACATCCACTGCCAGCCCATCCAATGTATCCAACCCCTCTGCAGAGGCAGCATAGTGGAGGGGGAATAATTGGAGAGGAGTGGGAGGGGAGAAGGAGAGGCCAAAAGGCAGGGAGACGGATAATGCAGACTGCATGGCTCATTAATGCTCTCAAATAAGCCGAGAAACCAATTTCTGAAGGGCCATCCGACCCGCAGCTGCTGCTGCCAGCACCGGCAAACACTTTACTCCCACACACACAGGACATCACAAACAATGCACACCACACAACACCGTACCTGCCAGCTGCACACCACAGCATGTACCTGCGAGCTGCATGGCGCGTTGATGGTCTCGGATGAGCCAGGGAACCAACTCCTGAACGGCCACCCGACCCTGCTGCTGCTGCTGCTGCTGCTGCCAGCCAGCACAGGCAAACACTTCACTCCCACATACACAGGGACATCACAAATACGTGCAAACCACACAACACCATACCTGTAAGTTACACAGCACAGCAGCCTACCTGCGAGCTGCATGGCGCGTTAATGTTCTCTTATGAGCCGGGGCACTGACTCCTGCAGGGCCACCAGCCTCGCAGCTGCCAGCGTGCCCACCTCACCTGACATTGCAGTCACATGCACAGCACAGCACAGCACAGCACAGCACGGCACGGCACGGCACGGCACGGCACGGCACGGCACGGCACGCACGGCACAGCACAGCACACCACAGCATAGCACAGCACACCACAGCACACCACAGGACACCACAGCACCGTAGCACACCTGCGAGCTGCATGGCGCGTTGGTGGTCTCTGATCAGGCGAGGCACCGACTCCTGAAGGGCCACCAGCCCCGCTGCTGCCAGCACGCCCACCTGCCTCATGCTGCCGCCCAGTGCCTTCCGCAGGCGACGGGCCTGTGAAGGGAGAATAGTTGGGGATACATACAAGGGGGATTCCTGGGTTAGAGTAGGGCGCTAGTGCTGTGCTGCCCCTGCCAGCACGCCCACCTGCCTCATGCTGCCGCCCAGTGCCTTCCGCAGGCGACGAGCCTTCAGGGGGATGGGCGTGGGGAGACAAGGGCAATGCCTGGTATAGAGTAGTGCTATGCTGCTGCTCATGCTGCCGCCCAGTGCCTTCCGCAGGCGACGAGCCTTTTGAAGGGGAACAGCATGGCCTGCCTGCCTTTTGCGGACCTACCTTATGCAACCAACCAATGCACTCATCATAAACCCTAAACCGCACCTTGGCTATGAACTCCACGAATCCCACAATCAATCGCACTCCCTGCTGGCGCTAAGGAGGGAGATTTGATTGCAGAACCACTACAAGACACCACAATAAGGCAGTGCAGAGCAAAGCAGAGTACAGAGCGCACCTTGGCTATGAACTCCAAGGATCCCACAATCACACTGCCTGCCTGCTGGCGCTCAAAGGAGAGAGATGCATGATTGCAGCCCCAAAGTTCACATGCCCTGCCCCTACCACCCTACTCAACCAACGCACCGCTAGCTAAACAACCCACCTTGGCTATGAACTCCACGGATCCCACAATCACACGCCCTGCTGGCGCCAAAAATAAGAATTTGACTACTGCCAAAAGTCCACATCCCCGTTTGCAACCAATGCACCACTAAACAGCAAACCATACCTTGGCTATGAACTCCACGGATCCCACAATCACACTCCCTGCTGGCGCTCCCAGGCCTTTGGATAGACACACCTGCCAGACAGGCAGGCAGGCAGGCCATCGGCAGCAGCATCAGCATGCGAGCCAAGTTGCCACGTGTATGTACATGCTATGCTAAGAAAAAGGAATGATTCAGCAGAGAGTAACCTTTTTTTTTTTGTTGATTCATAGAGTCTACTGAGTTCAAAGAAACTTCCAAGGTGGTGCATAAAGGCAGAGAGCGTGCAAGGAGATACGAAGGCGTCTACTGGACAAGCCGTTTTCTTGCAACTGCTGCTGGTTTTCTTGGAGAAGGAGATACGAAGATGCAACTGCTGCTGGTTTTCATTCGTCAGAGAATAGCTTAGACTGCGTCTACTCAGTAGCCTCTGTGATTTGTGGTGTCATACAAGCCTATTCGTATGAGGGTACCTGTGACCCACAGAAGCAATACAAGCACACTCACAGAAACACTGTGAGCCGGGCGGACTAGGCGGTCCACTGGCACCCGGAGAGCCTGTAAAGAACCGGGCAGGCAGACAGAGAGAGGGGGCTTAGGGCGGACTGAGTGACTCAGAGCATGGGAGGACTGAGAGTGTGTGCCGGGCCAGGCGGACGAGGCGATACACTGGCACCCGGAGAGCCTGGCATGAGTCAAACAGCAGCAGGCAGAGAGTACGCAGAGGGGACTTAGGGCGGATTGATTGAGCGCATGAGAGGACCAAGTGAGGTGACACACTGTGTGCCGGGCGGACTAGTCGACCCACTGGCACCCAGAGGGCCTGGCACGAGTCAAACAGGGCAGCATGCATTCAGCCATGCTTTCAGGGCTTGCGGCCAGCCATTCATTTAAGGCATGCACAGAGGAGTGTGTGGAATCAACGCACAGAGCATGGCACAGGAGGATGATTTCTGAGACATCACGACAGAATGGTATTCCACTAATGCATGGCATGAGTTGCATGGTATTGTGTGGTACGGTACGGTAGGGTACGGTATGGTAGGGTAGGGTATGGTACGGTACGGTACGGTACGGTACGGTACGGTACGGTACGGTACGGTATGGTATGGTATGGAATGGTATGGTATGGAGTTAATACAACAACAGCAGTTGCTAAAAGTGTATGGCCACAAGTGCGCAGCAACAAGTCTACTGCCACGAGCGTACAGCTATGGATGTACAGCAAAAAAATGTATGGCTCCTATTCCCCTGCATAACTCACAACAGCGGCGTTGAATATTCTCGCTCCATCGATGTGAAACTTGAGTCCATACCACGATGCCAGCTCTGCCAGTCGCTCTGTATAGTCCACTGTTATGGCGCGCCCACCGCACCTGGAGGCAAAGAATACATACAATGGGCAGCACATACAGGAGGAACTGAAGCCCGTACCACGATGCCAGCTCCGCCGGTCGCTCTGTATAGTCCACTGTTATGGCCCGCCCACCGCACCTGAAAGCAGAGGGTACACAGAAGAACCGAGGCTATATGAAGTAAAGATTGGATAGAAGCCATGGGTTGCTCATGTGGCATTGTGAGCCTCAGGCAGGAGGCCTTCCATTCTCACACCCCGCTTTTGAGGGCGGGCTCCACGCGCCGCTCTTTAAATACATGGCCAAACCTGCTGCGGTCTAGCTCTACCACATCGCATATTCATTTATGGGGTGAATAGATCGCTCCTGTGGGTTTCAAGTCCAATCTATCCTTTCGGTTTTGCATGGTGGTGTGACATCCTTCTTGATGTTAATGTACTATGTGTCTCATGTGTGCTGCTAGGTCGAACACCACATAATCAATGACGGCAAGGACCTGGAACACAGCGCAGACTCCAACATCGGGCTTGTTTCCGAGCTATGATGGATTATACGCGTTTAGCGTATATATGCGTATCGTATATACGCTGGCGTGTATACGCAATACGCTTGAGGGTCGGATCAGGCATACGCTTTTTCGGGCAGGGAAAAAACATTTCGGGCAGGGTGGGAAAAAATACCCCCTATCTCATCTCACTAGGACGTGCCGTAGCATTTTCCTGAGTCCGATCGGCGAGTGGGGTGGGGCGGGGAGTAGTCATCATAGCTAGAGAAAGTAGTGTTGGAGAGGCTTTTCAAGTTGGAGTGCGCGGTGACACTGCTGGAAGCAGGAATGCAAGGTAGGAAATGACGGGTTAGGGGTTGGGTTGGCTGGTTAGTAGCGTGAGATTTGTTGGGGGTTCGATTTTGATAGGTTGGATTTCGTAGATAAGATGGTTTTCAATGCGGTAGAGGGGATGGGTTCAAATGCCTAGATGGGATCTGAAATTCGACATTTGAATAGATGTGCCTGAAAACTTCAAAGTCAGATCCCAGCTTGCCTAGACCGCGGATTTGCATTTCGACTTCGGCGAAATGCTCACCAAGAAAATCCGCATCTTTTCTGCGATTTTATTTTTCCGGGCTGCCCGGAAATTTTTATGGCAGCGTATTGCGTATTCGCTAGCGTTTAGCGTATTGCGTGTACACGCTAGCGTATATACGCTAAACGCGAAGGGCCTCGAGCGTATAATCCAACATAGTTTCCGAGTACCTACACAAGGTGACAGCGTGGCGTAAGGCAGTCATTATGGCACCATCCGTCAACGGCATCGGTCCTTGGTACGTGACCGCCGAGAAGGCACGGGCCTTCTCTTAGACAAAGTCGATCCTAATCTCGATGCATGGCATCGAAAACACTGAAGACCTAAGCCGTGAACACCCTCTTGTGTACATGCCTGGTGCTTGATGTTTGTGATTGAGACTTGCATCAGTCTCAACGCTGCACCTGATACATCCGCAGAGGGGTGTTCATGGCTAAGGCCTCTTGTGTCTTCGATGCCATCCGTCGAGATCAAGATCGTCTTTGTCTTGAAAAAGGCTCATAGCCTTCTCAGCAGTCACGTACCAGGGACCGCTGCCGTTCACGAATGTTGCCATGATGGCTGCCTTGCACCACGCAGTCACCTTGGATAGGTACTCAGAGACAAACCTGATGTTGTGCCCTGCGCTGTGTTCATGGTTTTTACCATCATTGACGATGCGGTGCTTGACCAAGAAACACACATGAGACACATTATATGTTAACATCAATCAAGAGGGCAAGTCACACCGCCATGCAAAACAGGAAGAGTAGAATGAACTTGAAATCCGCAGCAGCAATCTACTCAACCCGCAAGGGAATATGGGATGTGGTAGAGGTTGATAATAGCAGTGAGCAACCCATGGTTACTGCCATCTATGGCTCACATGGCATTGAGAGACCCATATGAGTCTTATGGACACTAATATGAGTGACATAAACACTGATACGAGTGTCATTGTCACTGGTACTAGTGGCATTTATATGAATAACACTGTCAATGTTATGAATGACGCTGACATTGACATTGGCATGAATGACTCTGCTATTGATACAGATAAAAGGAACTCGGATATTTAGAAAAAAATCACCTGTTGTGGGTGTTCTCGAGGCAGATGCATCTGGTAACCGGGTAATGCTCATCGTCCTTCCGAATCGCCAGCTCCACCTTCTTGAGGTCCATGGTGCCGTCCGCCTTGTTCACCACCGTGCGCGGATGCACACTGCCAAGTGTGGCCACTCCCCCCTGCTCATATACACTGATGTGCGAGTCTGCTCCCAAGATAACCTCACTGCCCCGCACCTGGAAGGACACGGAGGACAGAGAGAAATTGAGGAAGAAGGGGGTGGGGAGACAGCCAGCCAGGCAGCTCCACCTTGTTGAGGTCCATGGTGCCGTCTGCCTTGTTCACCACCGTGCGCGGATGCACGCTGCCCAGCGTCGCTACTCCCACCTGCTCGTACACACTGATGTGTGAGTCCGCTCCTAAGATGACCTCGCTGCCTCGCACCTGGTAGCAGGAGAGTGGGAAGAGAGGGGTTAAGGAAGGGCCTTGTTCACCACCGTGCGTGGATGCACGCTGCCCAGTGTCGCCACACCACCTTGCTCATATACACTGATGTTGGAGTCCGCCCCCCAAATCACCTCACTGCCTCGAACCTGTGGGAGTCAAGAGGGCGGAGGCAGGGAATGAGGATGCACTCCCCCCAGTGTCTGCTTAGTGTGGTGCTGTTCAGTGTGGTGCTGTTCAGTGTGGTGCTGTTCAGTGTGGTGCTGTTCAGTGTGGTGCTGTTCAGTGTGGTGCTGCTCAGTGTGGTGCTGTTCAGAAGCCTGTGACAGTGAAGTCCTGTTCAGTTGGGTGTTACAAAGCAAGAGATACACATACAAGCACATCGCGGCACACCATAACGCGTATATAAACACACCTACCTCGCAGTGCACGAGCACGCAGATGAGGTTCCCCATGGTGCCGGACGGCACCAACAGCAGCCTATGACACACATACACATGCCTCGCAGTACATCATAACGCGTATAGACACCATAGCGCGTACAAGCACGCACGCACGCACCTCACAATGCACGAGCACGCAGATGAGGTTCCCCATGGTGCCCGACGGCACGAACAGCCCCGCCTCCTTCCCCATCATCGTCGCCACCTGCCTCTGAAGCCATCTGTGACAGTGTGGTGCTCACTGCACAGCTGGTGTTGTTCAGAAGCCTATGACAGTGCAGTGCTGTTCAGTTGGGTGTTACCAAGCAACGGCCATAACGCGTATAACAGATACACGCACAAGCACGCACCTCACAATGCACGAGAACGCAGATGAGGTTCCCCATGGTCCCGGACGGCACGAACAGCCCCGCCTCCTTCCCCATCATCGTCGCCACCTGCCTCTGAAGCCTGTCCACCGTCGGATCTATCCCGATGACGTCATCGTCCACGTCAGCGTTCTTCATCGCTTCCCGCATCGCGTTGGTCGGTTTGGTCACCGTGTCGGACCGCAGGTCCACCAATCGCCGCGCCGCGGCTTTAGAGAGTTCCGCGACTCCCGCCGCCGATCCCGCTTCCGCTGCGCCTCCCACGGCAATCACCCCGCCACCGGCGGCTTGCGCATGATCTCCGCCGCCTGCGCCCATGGGGGAGGCCCCATGCGCGGGAGGCGGAGCCGCTGTTCCCGCGGTGGCCCGGTTGGCGGAATGCGGTCCCCCCGATGCTGACGTGGGCTGCATCTGGAAGCGTCTTAGATGCTACTCTTTGTGAGAGATTTTTGAGAATTCTAAAAAAAAAATCCCTCTTCTCTTCTACCCCTACGGGCGTCGCTGAGGGTACGAGGTCTGGAACGAGGCAGTTTCTGCGCTTCGCCCTAATCCACTATTGTACGATGCGATGTGGCGTGCCGCTACCGGCGACACTGAAGGCGAAGTGTACCCAAAGAGAGAGTTTGTACGCTTCGGATACGAGTGGACCTTTGAGTCGACTCGAAAGTGGTAATATCTCACAGTTCGGCTGTAGCTACTAAAGGTGGTGTCCGGTTTTCAAAGCCGTCTGGCTGCTGCGAGCAAACGAGCTAGCCTCTTACCGTATCAAACCACTTCCAATACAGGAGGAGCCAATTTCCACGCGGCGGCGTTAGCTACTATTGTGCGACGCGACGTAATGTGGCGTCCATTTTCAGAGCTGACAAGCTGCTGGGCGGGAAGCAGGGGTGAGGTGAACTAGCATCTCACCGTACCCAACCGCTTCTCATACTAAAGAAACGCCCCCCCGTGCCGCATTTGATTTACAATGTAGTGTAGAATCAAATGCTTTACATAGAATGCAGTAGGAAAGCAGCAGCTGATACATGCCCAACATTCCTCCTGCCTGAAAAAATAAACACCCTTTCACAACTCATGCCAAATATCCCGTATTTTGATTCCAATCTGCTCACATCCAGCCCTCCACTGACAATCAAAGCATCAACCGTCATCTGATCCACACTCTCCCTCCAAAACAAGATCCTCCTATCCTAATTCTCGAATGGAACAACCTGGGAGCCGCCTGCAGCCTCTCCAGATGCCTCTTCCTCGGGCTGAGGGACAAGAACGACTGGCAACAGCGTTTCCTCCGAACCCACAGACGGAACAGTGGGATCAATCTCCAAAAGGTAGGGACCAAGGTCATTTGGGATCTGATAATCAGTTGGCATCTGTGCCGGCCTCAACCAGGCATTTGGAACAGGCCCAGGAACACTGGAATCAGCACCATCGGGCATGGGTGCAACACCCTGGGAGGCTGCTTTGGAAGCTTCCTCAGGTGCATCTTCCGCTGGCTGAGGGACAAGAACAGCTGGCAAGGGTGCATGCCCATCGCCTACTGGAGCCTCGTCCTCTGAACCCACAGATGGAACGGCAGGATCAACTCCAAGAAGGTAGGGACCATGGTCGTTTGGAACCGGAACAGCATTGGACTCAGCACCATCAAGCATCAACGGGACACCCTGGGATCCTGCTGCTGGAGCATCCTCAGGTGCTTCTTCCTGCGGCTGAGGGACAAGAACAGCGGGCAGCAGTGCATGCTCACCGCCCACCGGGGCTTCCTCCTCTGAACCCACAGCTGGAATGAGGGGGTCAGTCCCCAGAAGGTAGGGGCCATGGACATTCGGCACCTGACGATCATGTGGAACCTGTGCTGCCCTCAACCAGGCGGTTGGAACAGCAGAGGGAGCAGCAGCACTGGACTCAGCAGCAGCAGGCGTGGGTGCAACACTCTGGGAGCCTGCTGGAGCCTCAGCAGGTGCTGCTTCTTCTGGCAGAGCAACGTAAACTTCTGGCACAAGGGCATCCTCATTGCCTGCTGGAGCCTCGTCCTCATCTGACCCCAGGAGGTAGGGGCTATGGTCGTTGGGGATCTGAGGGTCGTTGGGCACCTGTGCTGATCTCAGCCAGGCGTGTGGAACAGCAGCAGGAGCAGGATCACTAGAATCAGCAGCATCAGGCGAGGATGCAACACCCTGCGGGCCTGCTGGAGCCTCAGCAGGTGCTGCTTCTTCTGGTAGAGCCACATAAATTTCTGGCACACTGCCAGCTGGAGCCTCGTCCCCTGAGCCGACAGCTGGCATGGGATTGATCTCCTGAAGGAAGGGACCATGGTCATTGGGCACCTGAAGATCATCCGGCATCTGTGCCGGCCTCAACCAGGCACTTGGAACAGGAGCAGGAGCGTTGGCGTCAGGAGAGTTGGCGTCAGGAGAGTTGGCGTCAGGAGAGTTGAATTCAGCACGATCAGGCTCGTCTCCCATCTCCCCATCACCGCCATCCACGGCTACAGCAGGCACAGAGACGGGGTCAGTGGATGGCTCAGATGCCACAGCAGCCACCACGGCGGAGCCTGTTGACGGCTCAGATTCCACGCCTGTTTGGACAGGAGCGGAATGCTCATCTGCTATGACAGGGAAAGGTTGCCCAGATGCTGAGTAAGGGAAGGATCCAAGCGCATTGTGTGCGGAAATTGGTCCATTCGGGTTGACCAGGTTCGCCTTCAACACCCGTGCTGCCTGCGCTGGTGCACACACCATCACGCCAAACGCTGCCAGCAACAGAAGAAACGGAATGGCAGTTTTTTCGAACTTTCTGAGTGAGGCAGTGCTCGAACCCATTGTTGCTGTTGAAAAACGCTACAAGTAGGTGCTTCCCAGGTGGTCCCGCGTTATCGAGGAGAGCTGCAGGCTACTTGGATTGGATGCTTTTAGGTTGCGTTGCTGAGCTGACTGACGAGTTGAGTCGAACGGTTGGCTTTTATGGGACATCAAACGCCGTTGTTTTTCCTGATTTCGATGTGCACGCGGCATGTTCGAGACTGAGACAGTCCCGAATCGCCTTCGCGACTCGTACCGACACAATGCGACCGACTGACATGGCTGAGAATGACTGGTCAACCGCGTATTGGGAAAGGTTGTGCTGCTGATCGCACGAAGGATCACCCTATCCCGACAGACAGCACTGCCGTGGCGCTTCGGTTCATCAATGTAGATTCATAGACGAAGAAAAAGCATTACACTCTCGCTATCACAGGCTGTACGGAAAAAGCGCATTCAACGGGGTCGCTCTTTGATTGCTCGATGATGCTGGGGTATCGACAGGTAGGTAAATATCCCCAGCAGAGACTTAGCAAATTTTCGCAAAGAAATTTCGCTTCTGAATTCGTCAGGTAACAAATTTAGGACCATATCGCCTGGCGCTGCTGGCATGCGAGCCTGGCCACGCGGTAGAGCCACGCAGCTCGACCAATCGCCAGGCTGGAAATGGTGGTGATAAGATCACAGAAGCTGGACCGAGAGGGCTCGCGGTTCCGTAGGTCAAGCCCATAGCCAGTGGAGGGTGGAAGTGAGTAGGGAAAGGAGGGCCGTTGATAGGAATTCGCAACTCCCAATCGAGGGTATACATGAGAGGGAAAGCAGGAGGGCCGTAGATTGGAGTTGCGGTACCCCCAAGGGATAGGAGGTTGACGGTGAGGAAGGTGAGGAGCTCGACAGAACCACCACAGAAACACGGGATGGCTCGATACTGAGGGCTTCAACCTGTAGGAGTCCGATTTGACCCTGTGGGCACTACAGAGTAAATAGGAAAAGCAAGTTGAAAAGCGTGATCTGGGTGCACCTTCCAAGAATATATCACAGTGATATACTTTCTTACTTCCAAGAGATATACTTTCCTCCAAGCACATATCATCAATCCAGTGTACATTCACCAAGAGAGGCCTCCAATATGATTGAAAACAGACAGTACACTCAAGACCACAAGACCACGTGCAAACACGAGATTGACAACTGCCATTTGCATGAAGTGTTGCACTAGCATCCCAACGACAACCTCTATTTTCATATAATCCAGCCGTCAGTGCCTGGTGGAGGGAGCTCGGCGCGCTTCTGCACTGCAGGTGCGGCGAGGGCTCTATCCATGTCGAACCGGACTTCTAACGTGCGCAGACTGTAGCCCACCACCATGAGCCAATAGAGCAGCTTTGCCAGCTCCGTCACTGTAGTCTCCGATGCCACAGACTGAGAGTAAAGTTAATGGGGAATGTGAGAAATGGGAAGAACAATTGAAAAGGAGTTTATGAATAGAAACACAAATACACATAGGTGCAAGTGCAACTTGCCAGCTCTTTTGAGTCGGCTCAAAAGTCAGCTCTTTTGCCTCCATCACTAGCTCTGTTGCAACCCCCCCAACACCTCCCTCGATCTGGTCCCTCTCCATTTCACCCCAATCCCGCCCCTCCTCACCTTGATCTCCCAGACGGCAGGAACGCCTAGCAGCCGTTGGATGAACGCATTCATGGCTGCGCCCCACACGCTCTCCCCATCTCACCATAATGTCGCCCCTTCTCACCTCCATCCCCCCCTTGCCAACCTCATTCTCACCTTGATCTCCCCAACATCAGGAACGCCTAGCAGCCGTTGGATGAACGCATTCATGGCTGCTAACGCATCGTCATCCGCACTGGCTGTCAGCTCCTGTGAGAGGTGGAAGAGATGGGGAGGGGAGAAAGGGGGGAGTGGGAAAGTGTGAGGATGGGTAAGAAAGATTGGGCTTAAGAACTTGCTCCAGTGCATGGCATGACATGGCATAGAATGACTGTTTCAGATGCATGGCATCGCGTCAACAACTGAACCCCCACTCCAGGAGCCAGCACCACACAGTCAGCGCCACAGCACCACTACTGCTAGCTGTTACCTCTGCCCCTCAATCTAACCACAGCTTCTTAATCCGCTCTCTGCTCTCCGGCTATCCGCTCTCTTTTCTCTGCTCACCTGTATATTCTCTGCTCCAACCCACACGTGCCAGTTTCGCCTCCTCCTCCTCCAGCCGTCTCTTCAGCGCCCAAACCTCCCCTTCTACCACCTCCACATAGCCCACCGCCCACCCCAAGGTTCCAGTGAGCAGCCTCCCCTACTGCCACTCACCTGCTCTCTGCTCTCTGCTCTCTGCTCTCTGCTCTCTGCTCACCTGTATATTCTGCGGCTCCAACCCCTTGAGGTATTCCAGCAATGCGTTCCCACTTCCTCCTCCTCCCCCACCCACGCGTGCCAGTTTCGCCTCCTCCTCCTCCAGCCGTCTCTTTAAAGCCCGAACCTCCCCTTCTAGCAGCTCCACATAGTCCACTGCCGGCACCCGAACCACCCGCTCAGCCTCGGCGTCCCACCGAAGCACCTCGCCTGCCACGTGCGTCTTCTGGACCGGACCCAGAGGTAAGGCATTGTCAGTGGGAGGCTGGAAGGGAGGGGGGAAGGGAGTCCAAGTGGGGGGGAGGTGAGCGAAGTTTCCAAGAAAAGTGAGCCCATATGGTCGGTACGGAGAAAGAAACACCTCCGGAAGAGCCGAATGTGCGTCTTGTGAAGCAGTAGGGGATGGAGACGCTGGTAGTGGCTGAGTCGACGTCTGGATGCTTATATGCCCATGCCCACACCAATAGTAACTTACCCATGATCGAGAATCCGAGTCACTGCCGCTGCTGCTGCTCCCCCTTTGTCTGTCAGAAGCAGTAGGGGATGGCGACGCTGGTAATGGCTGAGGTGACGTGGAGGAGGAAGAGGAGGAGGAGGGTGAGGAGGAGGAGGGGATGTGAGGAGGGAAGGAGGAGGGGAGGGAGGTAAGGGAGGAGGAGGAGGAAGAAGCAGCGGGGAGGGCGACGGCACCAGCAAAGGAGGAGGAGAGTTCGAGGCGGTACTGTGCGTTTCGGAACATGTAGCCCGTCATCATCACACTGAACATTAGCTGCGCCAGATTCTCCCCAACCTGTTGTTTGTAGAGGGGAAAACATGTGGAGAAAGGCGGAGAGGAATGTTTGAGGCAATGCTGTGAGTTACGGAACATGTAACCAGTCATCATCACGCTGATCATGAGCTGGGCCAGATTCTTCCCCACCTGCCGTGTCACGTGTGTGGGGAGGAGAACATGTGGATATTTCAAGCGAGAAGCGATAGATGAGAGGGAGGGTTTGGAGCAGCAATAAGCATTGCAACAACAAATCATGTGATCCGTCTATTGAAGCACCCTCCCCCCACCACCATCCCCCATCGTACTGTACCGTTGTGACAGTACTGCGGTGGCAGCAACATTTGAGTCAACTCACCAACCATTCTCCCTCCCCCCCCACCATCCCCCACCGTACTGTACCGTTGTGACGGTGACTTCGAAATACTGCGGTGGCAGCGACCCCAGCATGTTGCTCACTGTCTGCCTCATTGCATCCACCAACTGGCGTGAGGGGAAGGAAAGGGCGGAAATGGCGAGTCAAAGGGGGAAGAGGGAGGAAGAAAAAGGAGTGTGTGACCCCAGCATGTTGCTCACGGTCTGCCTCATCGCATCCACCAACTGTCGTGAGGGGAGGGAGGGGGAAGGGAGGGGACACGGATGGAGACAGACAGGAAGGAAGGAAGAAAGGAGGCAAAAGGGTTGAGCAGCGACCCCAGCATGTTGCTCACGGTCTGCCTCATTGCATCCACCAACTCACACTCACTCAGATACTGATATCCTAGTCCAGCCACATGCTGCCTCACCACGTATACTCTCGTTCTCCTCACCTGAGGCTCAGCGTGTTGGAAGAATTTCTCCATGAAGTCCGGCTGCACGCCTTTCACATACTCATTCACATACCCACATGCCCTGCCCACAGATTCACATGCTCCCTCCCCCCTCACTACACACTCCCCTCATCTCACCTGCGGCTCAGCGTGCTGGAAGAATTTCTCCATGAAGTCCGGCTGCACGCCCCTCACAATCATGTACTCACACACTCACACATTCGCATACCAAAATGAAAAAGTCACATGCCCACATACCCACATGCTCCTCTTCTCGTCACACAAACCCTCGTTCTCCTCACCTGCGGCTCAGCGTGTTGGAAGAATTTCTCCATGAAGTCCGGCTGCACGCCCCTCACATACTCCACCAGCAGCTGCCTCCGCGTCTGCCCTCCCATGGGTGCGGTGGGGCCTGGTTGCTGCAGCAGGCAGGGAGGAAGGCAGAGTTACAGTATGTGGTATGGTATGGTATATACGGTGCAAGGGGTTGCAGACATGCATAGGCTGCACGCCCCCACGTAATCGACCAGCAGCTGCCTCCGCGTCTCCCCTCCCTGGTGAGGTGGGGCTGGTTGCTGCGGTAAGCAAGGGAGTGAGGGAGGGCGGACGATGGTACGGTACAATACAGTATGGTATGATACGGTGCAAGGAGTTGCAGCATGCATAGGCTGCACGCCCCCCACGTAATCGACCAGCAGCTGCCTCCGCGTCACCTGGAGGAGGTCCCTGCGGTAAGCCCATGGGCTGCCTCCGAGTATTCCCTCCCATGGGTGAGGTGGGACCTGGCTGCTGCAGCAAGGGAGGGAGGGAACAGGGTGGGTGATGGAATGGTACTGTATGGGATGGTACGGGTACAGTACAATGCGCTGCGCACCCCCTACCCACGACCGCAAACTTCTGGACCCCATAACACACCCTTGGTAACCACACACATGGTAACCACACTCACGTCATCCGGGCCTGCTCGTAACCGCCCCACGCGAACCCCCTTCCCGCCGCTATTCCATCTCCCGGCGGCCTCTTGGCCACTCCTGAGTCGCCACGTGTTTCCCTTCCAACCGCTACAGCGAACCCGCGCTTCCTGGCCGTGTCTAGCAAGCCGCGAAACACTTTCACGCGCCTCGAAAGACGCAGAAGAAGAAACCGTGCGCCACGTCAGCTGACACGTGCCAGCGGCGAACGCGGCGGACATGATCTACTGCGGAGGGATACGCGAGTCGGCTGTGTCGTCTGCAAGGTACAACTTTTTCACTTCAGGTGACTCAATGACTAAGCTCGTGTAAATGTCGTACGGAGGTCGTACGAAGGTCAGTGTCGCCAAGACGTTCACCGGTGCTGCTCTAACAAAGGTCTGTGCTCCCAAGACCTAGTAATACTCTTAGACCCGCGCCCGGTGAAGGCTACTGCTGCGAACGGTGCTTCCTCGGGAGGCCTTGAGAACAACGCTACGCTGGAGCCGATGCCACGCAGCGCGCGTGGCGAAACAGAATACCGAACGCAGCGCTAACTTGTTCCTGTCCTTGACGACTGCTTAATTGAGCACTGTGTAAGTGAAAAGTCAAGTTTCCAAATGTGCCGAAGAAGGGAAAAGCATGCACGGAAGGTGTGTAAGTGAAAACTTCCAAATGAAGTGCATAAAGGTACACATGAGTACGCAGTGCAGCATGCACTAATTTGTTTATACCGCGTCACCATGCCAAACATTTGCTTCTCGAGATTCGCACCGGTTTCTTCGCTTTCTGAACGCTTGGTACCGCAACAGAACGAATAATACCGTGGTTTTTGTAACCTTTTAGCTTGGAAACACACCGACTGGCGAGAACCCACTACCTACTGCCACACTTCGCCATGTCTGCTCACACTCACACTACCAACCAGCGCGGGACACTCTGTCTTGATTATGAATTCAGTGGATTTTCCCTACTTGCTCGATTTTCACATGAGATGAAAGGCTGCGGTCGGCTACGCTGTGGTTTGACAGGCGTAGAAGTGACGAGCTGTTGTATTGAATCTCTATCCTCGTAAGCCTGCTTGAGCACATCGACACGTTTTATGAAAAGCACGCGTTTAAGTCTAGAACGGCCAAGACCTGGTCACCGCGTTTTAGTAGTGTTCACAAGTTGACTGTAAACCGACTTGTGCCATCTATTTGACAGGCAGAAAAGCCATTTCTCATCCACGAATGGCGACCCTACCGCGGTTCGACTTCGGCTTCGCCTTCAAAGAACCTTCCTTTTCCGACTGCGTCCTTCGCCTTGTGATCGAGCCGCACTCAACAGGTATTATGGTGCCTCCGGGCGTATTTCCGGTAATTTTTATTAATCTCCACATCTCCAGGCATAACTTGACTTACGGATACCAGTTTGGGCCTCTTCGCCTTCCAGCTTCCAACATGGGTGTTTTTATCAACAGCGCTTCTAATCGCTAGCGTGGTTACCTTTTGTCGTTGCTAGTCGTCGTTTTTGCGTAACTTTCTATTCCTTCGGTGTTTGTTTGGTCTCTTGATTTTTGTTTTCCTCCTAATTTCACAACCTTCTTCGTAATCTCGCATCACGAGCGACTCTCGTGCTGGATGTATTTTTCATCCCTTCGCCCTCTGCTGCAAACATATTCGTCATAGTCGTTGGTCATGCAACTGATTGGTTTTTATTTGTTCGCATGTGATGCCCTCATAATACCTCTTCCAGGATTGCATGATGTTTCACCTGCAACGGGCACGGCACGTTCTGCCAAGGACAGAGTGGAAACCGACAGCTTAAGAGCAGAAGCAACAACAACAAAAGTCTCCGAGCCTCTTCAACGATCAACGCGTGCTGCTGCTGCAGCTGCTGCCTCTGCCGCTGCTGGCGCCGCTCCTCCAGAAGCAGAAGCATCAACTGCGACTGCTGCTTCGCGAGCATCATCTTCCCCTGCCGAGCCGTCGACTCGAGACGTACCAGCAGCGTCGGTGGTACTGGCGTCCAAGTCGACCTTCTTCCGCGCTCTCTTCACCAGCGGGTTCAGTGAGACGCTCGATCGACGGCTCGTGCATATCCACCTTTCTGCCCAGGGTATGTTCTGAGGCATGTATGGATGGACGGCATGGTGTGGTGTGTTGTGCCGAGCACTTGACTTGGAACGTGCCATCAGCGTTAGTGTGGTGTGGTGCGGTGCGGTGTGGTGTCCAATCTTTGCGCTGTGGTGCACAAGATTTCATGCATCTCTGTTTGAACGACTTTCGGGCTAAAATGGCCATTATCATGAGGTATGGCCTTGTGCGTCATCGCTTTTTTATACAATTGCGCGGGCTTTGGATCAGACACGGACAGTCCGTTTTGTTGACCCCCGTCAATCCCGGGCACAGAAGCCACTTATTCCCAGCACGAGCAGGAGGCGTCCGTGCCCGGGATTGCCGAGGGACGACAAAAGAAACTCCAAACCGTATAAACATCCAGGTCCGTGTCTGATCCAGAGCCCGTACAGTTGTCATCTTCTCCATCAGAAAGCGCTGGCGCACACGGTCGTTCCTCAAGATGATGTGTAATTTAGCCCGTGCGTCTCCCAAACAGGGATGCACGGAATATTGTGAACCACACCACCTCATACCACACCAAACCAACCACACCACACCAAACCACACCAAACCACACCACTCCATACCACACTGCACCATACCAAAAGGTGCAAGAACAAAACAAAAGGTGCATGAACCTAGAACATTCAAGCTGCTTAATGGTGTGGTTTGGCACACACCAAATGGTCTTTCTCAGGAGCCTCTAATTATGATTTTTTTTTATCATTCTCTTCTTCTCTCCTCATTCTCTCCCCATTCTCTCCCCATTCTCTCCCCATTCTCTCCCCATTCTCTCCCCATTCTCTCCCCCCATTCTCTCCCCATTCTCTCCCCATTCTCTCCCCATTCTCTCTCCATTCTCTTCCACCCCAGAGGAGCCTCTAATGATGGAGCTGTTGCAGTTCATATACCAGGGCACTCTTCCCCCCAATACAGTCACATCCTTTGAGCGCACGCTGCAGCTGCTCCTGCTGGCCGACCGCTTCGGAGTGGACGAGGGCATTGCCACCTGCTCCTTGCTCCTCACCTCCCTCACCTCCCTCACTCCCCACCCCTCCTCCTCCTCTGCCTCCTCTCTCCCTGCCTCTGCCTCTGCCTCTGCCTCTGCCTCTGCTTCCTCCACTGCTTCACTGTCCGTCCCAACCAACAGCACCATAACCGCCACCACTGCAAACCCCCCTCAGCCAACCAACCCTCCAACTCAGTCCCTCACAACCACCACCTCCTCTTCCTCCGCCCCCTCCACGGCCAACACTCCCTCCTCCCTCACCACTCAGCAGGCCCTGCTCGCACTCTCTCTCCCGTCATCTCTCCGCCTCAACCCGCTGCTCACACCCCTCATCCATGCCTCCCAGGCCTGCGTTGTGCACCCTTACGGACCGCTCTTCAACTCCTTCCACCCCAGCACCCTTCTCTCCAACACCCTTCATACCACCCCCTTTCACCACAGCACCCTTCACCACACCACCCTTCACTCCACCAACCCTCACTTGAACCATCCCGCCGCTGCAAACGAGCTCCTCACTCTCCCTGAAGCTGGGATACGAGCCCTCCTAGAGTCTGACGACCTCCCCGTAGATTCCGAAGAGTCTGTCTTTTGTGCCCTTATCCTCTGGGCGCGCCACAGATTCCCGGGCGGCGAAGTGGATTCTCCACGACGGCAGAACCCAGCTGGCGAAGCGGGTCCGGGCGGCGAAGTGGGGTTCTGTGGGGGGCAGGCGCGGGTGACAGGGGTGGCGGAGAGAAGGGCGGCGGTGGGGAGGCTGGTGAGGGAGGTGCGGTGGGCGTGGGTGGGGGCTGGTTTTGTGCGGTCGGTGGTGGTAGGGTTGGAGGAGATGCAGAGTGAGGAGGCGAGGGCAGTTGTGCTGGAGGGGCTGTTTGCTGCTGCTGAAAGGGGGGATGCTCACAGGGGGGATGCTCCCAGGGGAGATGCAGGCTGCGTTGGTGTGAGCTCTGGTGTTAACACTCACATTGTTCAGCAGTCGTGGTTATCACCACCTTCCTCGCAGTTTCCAGTTGCAGGTTCACTTCCTCCTGCTCCACTTCTTTCTCTTCTTCCTCCTCTTCTTCCTCATGCTCCTCCTCCTCCTAGCGGCTTAATTGCTGGCGCCACTTACACCACAACCCCTGCTTTTGCCACCCTCCCATCTTCTTCCTCCTCGTCCTCCTCCTCATTCTCTTCCCTGCCCATCGCCTCACCCCATACTTCCTCCTTCCACACACATTCCTCCCGCTCTGCCTCCACCTCCCACCAGAACCCGCAATCTTTGCTCATCCCTACCCCTTCAACCAACCCCTACTCCTGGTCTACTCCCTCACCCGCCCCCCATTCCTACTCTCTTCCCCCATTTCCACTTCCTGGTCTCGCCCCCGCAACTCCTACCGCCCGCCACGGAAATCCCTCTTCCTCGAAATTCCCTTCAGCCAGTGCCAAGGCTGGACCCCCTCGGTCTCCTTCCAGGCCACGTCCGGCCTGTTCTGCATTGCCGGCCGCTGGTTCACACTCAACGCGAAGCTGGAGTGTCAGAAGGAGCTCGGCCCGCGATTTGGCCTGTTTCTGCGCTTAGATAAGCACGCCACTTTTCCGGGTGTTGCTGCTGAGAGCGTCAACTGCCAGTACCGGTTCTGCGTGAAAATGGATTTGGGGGGAAGAGCTGATGGGGAGAATTGCGTTGGTGGCGTTGGTGGTGGTGCTGTGATTGCTACTGCTGCCGCTGGTTCCACTGCTGTTACTACTGTTGAAGCTGCTGTTGCGGCTAGTGCGCCTGGGCTGAGTGCGCATAGGAGCGAATCAGCAACTGCTGCTGCTCCTAGTGCTGATGCTGTAGGGATGGGGTTTAGCAGTGGCAGTGGTTCAGTGGGGTACTGTGTGGTGAAGTCTCGCAGTGCATGTGTTTTCTCAGAGCCGTACCATGGGTGGGGATCAAGGGATTTATTTAAGAAGCCTTGGGACGAGGTTCTTGCGGCTCCTGATGTGTTCTTCCCTGAAGGTGCCATGCATTTTCGAGCAGACATTTGGATTGACTAGCACCTTGTGTCCAAGTGTATTTCTCTTCACAGCCGTATACAATTGGTGAAAACCTGCTGAGTATGCCCTTTTATTCTGGCCTGGAGGAGCAGGAGCTCACTCTAATCATAAGAACCAATGGATGGTTGAATGTGCAGTTAATAAGAGTACTTTCAAAGCTTTTGGGTGCAGCCTCTAGCAGCGGGAACCTCAATGATGAGGTTGTCAACCAGTTCAGCCACGTCAACGCAAAGAAGCACCAGATTCCCCAGGTTCCGTGATTCTGGGATATTGCGCTCAAATCTCCACAGCCTTCGCTCGTATCCGCCCCTACGATTGGCTGCTACTGACGTGTCTTTCGTGGTGGCAGATATTCGCCATTGCGCGAAATTCCTGGAGGTCCTCTTCATCGTCAGCAGTGTAACAGCAACTGGTGTTACCGCCGTGGCGAAAGTCTTTGCAGGTCCAACGTTCCTGTGGCTCCGCTTGGGCTTGGCAATCCCTAGGCTCCAGCTCCGCTGCTTCTTCGGCCACAAAGATGCTCCCTATGACAGACAGACAAGCAGCACATCGCGGTTGTTCCCCGTTGTCAAGTAGTCAGCAGCTTGTGTGTGTTCCTTTCTTGGGAACAGTTTTCGGGATTTTACTTTCCAGGCTCGTCTCGACTGCTCTGAAACTAGCAGAAGCCATTACCGCGTGGTTAGTGCTAGTCCCTGATCAGGTTCACGGTTTAGTGGATCTGTCTGAACCGTGGAGCTGTCTTAACTTAGTTTCGCGCTTCCTAAGTCGAGGTTGCCTGGTGTAAGACAGGCGTGGTAGATCTTGCGGGAAGATTGAACGGGAGCGTGAAGATGTTGTCCCGCGCAATCTCGCGTTCGCGATCTCGCCTGCTGGAAGCGTGTCAGTCGGCCGTCGCCGTCGCGACTGGCAATGCTGCCGCCAGGCCGACCACCGGTTTCACCGCTGCTTGGCTAGAGGGCAATGCGCCTGTAAGCGAGCGTTGATAGCAATATCTTCATTTCTTGTGATCAGTTTGACGTGTATTTTGTCCCGTGCCCACGCCATTGCTGTAACTAAACGAATTTGTCGATTTATCTGGCAGGTTGCATTCGGATTAGCTTCTCGCGGTTGTCATTCAGCGGTGTTTTCTTTATAAAAAGAGAGAGGGTCTCTTGATACTAAAGAAGAAAGCATTTGTAACCTGCAGGCACATTCAAGAGGGTCGGCGACAGACGCCTTGCCAGCTGCTACTGTTCCCACTGGCGTCGCAAACTTCAAGAGGGTGAGTTCTCGACACATTTCACCAGCATCGCACAGTTATAGGAAACGCGAGTGTCCTATCAGTTTCAGAGTCGCAACCCGCTACAGGGTGTGCGTGCGTCGACGATTCCTCTTAGAGCTTTCCGCAAATACCGTCGACAACAGCATCGATATTAGAAAGCATTCTGTCCACCAGCATCGCTTGTTGGGGTCCGCCATGAACGACCGACCTCCGGGAAGCCGCTCTTGTAGCTAATGCTACGAACCACTCTGCATCCTGCTCTGTCTCCCTCCTCTAGGGTCGGATTCTCTCGCTTCGTCTTAGCCCAGATTTCTCGTTTTTTGTAGCGTCGTTTGGTTCATGCCTTCTAAGTGCAGTCACTAATCGCCATGTGCTTGTCTCGCCTGTTCTGAGCATCTCCGACTTTCTTTCAAAGCCATCGCCTGGATCTTGGCTGGACTATCTGCCTTGCAAAAGCGCGCCGATTTCCGAGGCGCCTCAGATTGGAATGTCAACTACACTATCTGCGCTTTCTCTCCAGAAGCGCGCCGATCGTCATGGGAAGGATGGGGCCGTCGTCTCCCTTGGAAACGACCTCTTTCCAATTCCACCGTCATTCTCCCGATCCCTCCGGCCTCCCCGCTACCGTCTCCCTGTCCCCCGTTCTTCACCAGTCCGCCGTGCTGGCTTGGAGGAGCGAGAGTGGCGCGCTCGCTTGGCCTAAATATCACCCCTCTTTCGCTTTCCACCCCCTTTTTCCCAATCCCCCCAACCTCCCCACTATCCCCTCCCCGTCCCCCCCTCTCCGCCAGCCCGCCGTGCTGGCGCTGGAGGAGCGGGAGAGGCGCGCTCTCCTGGGAGGCGGACAGCAGAAGATCGACAAGCAGCATAAGGGCGGCAAGGTGAGCGGCGCGCGGGGGAAGAGGGGGTGAGAGGCACACGGGAAGGGAGGGTGAGGCGCACGGGGGAGGTGGGGATTAGCCGCATGGGGCAGAAAGGTGTGAGAGCCGCACGGGAGTTGGGGGGAAGGGGGTGAGACAGACGAGTGTGGGTGGGTGAGACTCAAGTCGGGGACGATGGGGGGTGGATATGCCCGCTGAAAGGATTCGCTTTTATGTAATCCCCGTGCCTATGTGCCTGATTTCCCTTCTCTTTCGTCTCTGCTGGCAGCTGACAGCGCGGGAGAGGATCCAAGTACTCGTGGACCCGGGGTCGTTCGAGGAGCTTGGTGAGTGCTGCGCAATGCTTCTAGAAATTCCAACCAGGAATGCATACCTCGTAATGTACAACCCGGAATGTACATCCGGAAATGTATATGCGGAAATGTACACCCAGGAATCCCTATGCTTGCACTACTAAAAACTGGGAATTGTGATCCCCAAAGCCTGTTGAAGGATCCTGTTTGGTATGGCCGTCTGATGTGAACGTACCTTGTTGTTGTACGATATGACCGTCTCATGTGTTCATGTCATGTCGTTGGTGTCCACTTTCCATGCTGCAGACATGCTGGTGAAGCACCGCTGCCACGACTTCGGCATTGCCTTTGGAGACGTCTCAGGACCATTTCATATCGTGTTTTTCCACTTTCCATTCTGCAGACATGTTGGTGCAGCACCGCTGCCATGACTTTGGCATGGACAAGACTCACATCCCTGGCGACGGTACGTGCCTGCCTGCCGTGGAAGATGTTTGCGCCTGTCACGTAAAATGTGTTCATGGGCCCTTTGCCCGTATGCTTGCATCTCCTCAACCCTGAGCTTCCTGTTCTAATACCCTGGACTGATGATGTGGGATTGCATGGGATTGCAATGGGGCGGTGGGGTGGTATGGTATTCACTGACGTGGGTGGAATTGAATGAATGCATGGAATGGCATGGTACCTTTCAGGTGTTGTTACTGGCAGTGCCACCATCAACGGCAGGTACGACACCCTACCGACTAGATCATATCATATGATATCCATCTCATCCTTCCCTGCTTCCGTCACTCGTGCTCCTCATTCCACACCCATCAAGGGAGCGCGACGTCTCAGTCAGTCACATACAGTCATTGCTGATAAATCGTGGAAGTTAACAACTTGCAGTGATCTCTCTCCTTGCTGCTTGCAGGCAGGTGTTCCTCTTCAGCCAGTACTTCACAGTGCCTGTTTCGAGACACCTTAAAGCGGGTTTTTGTCACTTTGTCTTGGTATCTGCAGGCTGGTGTTCCTCTTCAGCCAGGACTTCACAGTGTTTGGTGGTAGTCTGTCAGAGACACATGCTGCTAAGATCATCAAGGTGCGACCCTGCCTCCCTCCTCGCACACAGATACTCACACCAAAGCATCTAGTCATAAAATTCCTCTCTGCTCTGTTCCATCTCCACGTATGTCCTGCTGCTTTCCTCTGTCCTCCGCACATACTCCTCTCCTTCACCTATCCCGATCTCCAACAGACATGTCTGCACTCACGCACATGGCAGGTCATGGCGAAAGCTATGAAGGCTGGCGCACCTGTGAGTTAGGGGTGCCCGTGAGTTACGGATCTCGATTCAGCTCATAATACTCCTCCCGTTCCCATAAACCCCGTGACTCCACTCACACGCACATGGCAGGTCATGGAGAAAGCTATGAAGGCTGGCGCACCTGTGAGTCGCCCATTCCCCCTCTCTCAACCTCCCACTCTATCGTTTCTGTTCTCTCCTCTCCTCTCCTCTCCTCTCATCTCATCTCCTGTCCTCTCCTCATACCATCCCATCGCATCACGTCCCATCCCATCCCAACCTACTGCGCTGCAATCAACAGTGTCTCCTTTTCTCGATAAGTGCCCCTCTGCATGCAAAAAACACTTTAAGT